TGAGCATGAGAACCAGCGCGTGAACCAACACGTTCGTGTACTCCATTCGCTTGCACTGCACTTTCTGGTTCACAGTGACGTCACACTTCGGTACTCTATAGAGTACTGAAGTGAATACGTCACGCGCACAACTAGTGTGTAAAAGGCATGAGCGCGAGAACCAGCGCGTGAACCAACACGCGCGCGTACTCCATTCGTTTGCACTGCATTTTCTGGTTTACAGTGACGTCACACTTCCGTACTCTATAATCTCAATTTGAACGGGGTATACTTGTGCATCACGTGGTTTCTTCAAAGAGTACACATTGACCATTCACATGATATGATTCAGAGGAATGCACACGAGACATTCTCCTGCACCCACAAGAATAGAGAGTAACAGGTATAAAAGCAGCCCTTGTATCCTACAGGTGTCTGGAATCTTGTTACCAGACTGTTGCACAGTGATTGATAAGAGTTCCAAAATATTTAGAGGACGCCCACATGTGGGTCCAAATTGTCCTGTCAGATGTTCCTCTAACACGATCCAGGCAGAGCATTGCTTAGTGTGCAGTACACATGAGCATAGAAAAAAGTTTCAAGGCGTTACCTTCATGGCCTTTCTCATGAACTTGGCGTTATCTTTCTCGATGTCGTGATGGGATCTGATGGGCGTCTTGAGTTCGTCACCCACCACCATGCCAGGGCCCTGGGTTGCAGGCCCACCAATGAACAGCATGATGCGGGCACCGGTATTCGGGAAAGAACACTGATTGGGAAAGGATACAAATACTGTTAACAAAAAAAAATCAGTACCTTTATCTGAAACAAATTCGAACAAATTTAATAAGCAATGCTGAGGAAAATTATTTGAAAGCCTCACTACAATGTAACTTGGAATTCAGATAAGCCATAAATGCGCCAGTGCGTAATTTCTGCAAGACTTGATATATTTAATAAGTGGTCTTCATTCATCATTCTCCAGGTTTTCTAGGTTATATGGCTTCCAAATAGTGCTCCATGAATAAAGATATTGACAAATGGGAGGAGGAACCATCACAGGGATTGGTAGTTCAGTTGCCGGTACAGTGTTGTGGAGGTCACAGGTTCAAATCCCACCTCAGTCAATTTCTTTGCTCATCTACATGATTGTCTAGTGGACAAATGACATTCTGCTGTAATCTTTGGATACAGCATATCCCTACGAATGTTGCTGGATTCCTTTACGTTCACTGAGGTACCAAGAAAAACTCACTTTAACCAAAAAAAAACCCCACTTTCACAACACCTGCCTGCTGCCATAGAACGGCTGCATACATTACCTCAAGCAGGCCAGTGGCGATGGATAGTGCCACCCCGGTTGAGCGCAGTGGTCGCTTCCCGGCACCGACGGGCCAGGGATCACGCTGCAGTTCCCCCAACAGATCAGTCAGGTTCATGTCGCACTTGTGAACAGGCTGAAGAAACCTGTCACAAAAAACACAAGGCACAACTACGTAGTAACACAAACAAAATCTTGACGTCAGCATCTTTGTTACTTTCTTCCTTTCTTTCTTGGATGACTTTTAAACTTTGATGTTTTTTATTTTTTGAGTGTGTGATTTCTTTTTAGCTTCTAAGTTTGATAACCATGTAATTCAGCTTTTGGCTGGAACAAATAAATGTGAAAATATGAATGTTAATATATATTGTAATATCCCACCTCAGCTCCCTTTAAAAAAAATGCTGGGTTATTCCGTGCCAAATCATACAAAAGCAGGGGTACCTTCCATGTGACAGGGGTCACATGGGAGGGTGCTTAAATTGGCATAGACTGACCCTACAAGCAGACTACCATCTTCTGAAGACTCAACTACTCAAGGTAAATCAAATCTGCCTGTACGTGAACCAATGAAAGCAAGCCATCTAGCCCAAGATGCATGGAGGGAAACCACAATAATAAACTAAGGTTCCACAGCCAACCCTCCGAGACAAACCAATAAAAGCTGTTATCTTAAGAGAAGCAAGTCAGCACCTCTGTCAATGATGGAACTTATGCATGTAATAAGGATGAGGACTAGAGAAATACTGTACCCTGTACCGTGTTTATTCTGTACCACAAGCAAAAACTGTCACCTTTTCCATTAATAATGCAGCTCATACTGCAAGCCCCTTGACATTCCAGGGCATTCTATCCCCTTGAAGAGCAGCTTTTTAGCCGGGGATGTTGTCCTCTAACAAAAGTATTATTCTTTGTGCTTACAATGGGACTCACTTCGTACATGCAAATAGCAAAAGGAATACAAAATCTGTACCACAGGCCGTCAAACAGTATCTATAAAATGAGGATGTTAGTAAAACTATCCTAATTCCCGCCACTGTCCAAACAAGGTCTCGCCAACACCACGCAGGGAAGTCTGACAGAGAAATGAGGAAAACGGGAATTGTCTGTCTTGCTTTACTCACGATCCTGTGCAATCGGTGTTCACCTCAAGGGAATGTGAACTGCACAATTTGTGCATGGAGTGGAAAGGAGTAATCAGTTGACGTTACGAACGCATTAAAGAAATAAATAGTGGATAATGACAAGGTTTGTCAGAGAAAACCATGCTCAAATAAACATGCACATTTGTACTTAACCCTTGAAATCACATCACCTTCGCTAGGCACAATTCAAACAACAGCAGCCCAGTCATTGTATGCTCAGGTATACTCTTTGTACACCAATGAAATTGCGACATTAAGCCCCGTGTACATAAAAAAACAATAGATGAGCTGTCCAATAAAACGAGACGGGGTTTTATCTGACAAATTCTAAATAATGGCTACAGTTTCAGCTAAATTTGCATTTTCTCAGCCACCTGAGGCCCTTTTCTGTGCAGCGTTAAATACAAACAAGTTTTTGTCTTGCCGACTTGATCGAGATTGCATGCAAAGTTTGTGAATATTCAGTTGCTCCTCATTTGGTGACAGTGGGTTCTTACACCTACAACCCTGCAACAGAATCAACGTAATGAATATTCTGATGTACACTGTACGAGTTTGTTTACAATTCAGACATATCAACTTTTTGATTTTCATCACTTCATCTTTTGTGTGTCGTGCAATGCTGACCTGTTCATTGGTTGCTGCTGCTGCGGCTGTTGCTGCTGTCCTCTCATCTGCGGCTGGCCTGATGTTCTGCCGATTCCGAGCATCTCCTAGTGAAATGAAACGCCCACATAGGTAAAGGACTTTTCCTATACAATATGCAAATAAGGCAGGCACATGGGCATTACTACAAAGTTGGCAAGGTTGCTTAACCACTTCGTGCCGAGCCCATTTATCCATGTTGATTCTGCTGGGCTGGGTGATTTTTTTTTTCTGTTTTAAAAATTCTTTAAAAATTCATAACTTCCTTTACTAGACGTATACACCCAAATAAATGACTGTCTGGTGGGTGTTCTGATTAGGTAGACAACATCTATTGATGCCTGAGTATTTCAGCCAGGCCTGCTGCCTGGTAAAAAGAGCCCAGATTGAGCGGTGTTATGTAATTTTCTTTTGTTCCCGAAATGGGCACAGTGTGCTGCTGACATCTCTTCAATAGGGGCCAGATTAGCATGCAGTGGTATTGTATCACTTATCACTGGAGCTTTGGAGTGCTTTTGTCCCCGGAGGTAATCCGCTCGCACTGAATGCCACAAACAGTGGTATAATCATTCAAAACAGTGACGGATTTCCTCCGCTATTGACAACCAAAAAAATGTAGGAAATTCCTAGCAGCTCGGTCTTTTGTTCCAAGTACAGTCTTTTGTCACAAGGCCCAGCTCTTCCAGTTTCGGGCAGCCCGGCATTAACCACTTCATGCCGGGGTATTTTTCAATGTTGATGATGCTGGGCCGGCATGAATATCATTTTTTCCGTTTTCAAAATCCTTCAAATATTCATCATTTCATTTAACGGTCGTTTATAGCCGCACCAAGTAATCTTTAGGCACTACTCTCAGTTGACAGGTGACCCTCACTGACGNTTTCTGTTTTAGAAATTCTTTAAAAATTCATAACTTCATTTACTAGACGTATACACCCGAACAAATGACTGTCTGGTGGGTGTTCTGATTAGGTAGACAACATTTATTGATGCCTGAGTATTTCAGCCAGGCCTACCGCCTGGTAAAAAGAGCCCAGATTGAGCGGTGTTATGTAATCTTCTTTTGTTCCTGAAACAGGCACAGTGTGCTGCTGACGTCTCTTCAATAGGGGCCAGATTAGCATGCAGCGGTATTGTTTCCCTCATCACCTGAGCGCTGGAGTGCTTTTGTCCCCAGTGGTAATCCGCTCGCACTGAATGCCACAAACAGTGGTATAATCATTCAAAACACTGACAGATTTCCTCCGCTATTGACAACCGAAAAAATGTTGGAAATTCCCAGCAGCTCGGTCCTTTGTTCCAAGTACAGTCTTTTGTCACAAGGCCCAGCTCTTCTAGTTTCGGGCAGCCCGGCATTAAGTATAAAGGAAACGAACCCGAAACGGTCCCCGGCAGCAAGTGGTTAAACAATTTGATGTAACAATTCAAATCTCCATGCACGCCCAAGTACTAGCACAGACACGTACCAGTATAGTGTGACATGAGTAGAACACATAAAGACAAGGAAATGTTACTTTCAAATCTCAGGACACTGGCAACTTCCCTTTTTGTTTCGAGAAAAGTGTGCTGAACTCTTTGACAAGGGCTGTTAAATGCGGTACTGAGTGACCTTCAACGCACCCGATTATGGGTAGACAGCTCTCCTACACTGCCGACAATGTTGACGGCCGCGCTTGCCAACCAGTTTTCATGGGAAAGGTCCATTGGCTCATTCTGCGCTAATCACCCGTAATTTGTCCAGTGACAGTATCAGATTTGGTTGAGGCAACAGGTCACACTTTATTACAAGGGTTACAGATTTTTCAGAGGACTGAGAAGATTTTTGGAAATTAAACTGCAAACTGCGACTAAGGTTGACCCTCGGGTGTCCTTCAACTTCCTAGACGTTCTTGCGANAGGAAGTGGTTAAGTATAAAGAAAACAAACCCGAAACGGTCCCCGGCAGCAAGTGGTTAAACAATTTGATGTAACAATTCAAATCTACATGCACGCCTAAGTATTAGGACAGACACGAACCAGTAAAGTGTGACATGAGTAGAACACTTAAAGACAAGGAATTGTTACTTTCAAACCTCAGGACACTGGCAACTTCCCTTTTTGTTTCGAGAAAAGTGTGCTGAACTCTTTGACAAGGGCTGTTAAATGCGGTGCTGAGTGACCTTCAATGCACCCGATTATGGTAGGACAGCTCTCCTAAACTGCCGACAATGTTGACGGCCGCGCTTGCCAACCAGTTTTCATGGGAAAGGTCCATTGGCTCATTCTGTGTTAATCACCCGTAATTTGTCCAGTGACAGTATCAGATTTGGTTGAGGCAACAGGTCACACTTTATTACAAGGGTTACAGATTTTTCAGAGGACTGAGAAGATTTTTGGAAATTAAACTGCAAACTGCGAATCAGGTTGACCCTAGGGTGTCCTTCAACTTCCTAGAAGTTCTTGCAAGAAACCTTCCCAAATCCTTCCAAACCCCTCACCATGCCGTAAACCCATGGCACATTCTTTCTGCTCCAACTTTTCAAGGAACATCAAGTCCTTCAAGACCCACTGAAGGATTTTCGAAAAATCTGGGAGGGCAGGGGCTAGATCTACCATTCTGAGTAGTGTAACCAGGCAGTCTTGTAGTCAAGCCCATCACAAGTCTCTCCAAGTCCCTTTAAGTCCATCACAAATCCATCATGCCGCCAGCCTTACGCCAAGTCACGAGCTATTCAAATGAACCGTGATAAAAGTATTCCCCGAGCCAACGTTCACTCCATTACACACAACTCTGGTCATGTGATAGGACTTGTGAAAGGACTTACAATGGACTCGACAAGACTGCTACAAGAACATGAAGGGCACTGTCTTGTGGCAACAGAAGGAGCCCCCTTACCTGTATTTGCTTGGCGTTCAGGTCTTTCGTCCCGCGGAAAACGTAGCTCTTGGAGCAGCCCTCGCAGCCCAGCTCGTGGACCTGCACCATGCGACCGAAGGTGATCAGGCCGATCAGGGCATTCGGGGGCAGCAGACTCAGGGACATCTGCAGCGACTCCTTGAGGGCCTGGAGGTCATCGTCATCCATGCAGGTGTCCAGGACCAGGAGGTAGATCAGGGGGCAGGAAGGGGCGCGCTGTCAAGACAAAGAAGACGATGGAGTGGGAGTTGGTATTATAAGCAAGGGAAGACTCACACCAGCTGCACATCATAAGATGCAAGGCTGTCTTTTTGGAAATGACTACTTGCTCAGAGTGTGAAACAATCAATTTTCATTTGGCACTGCGTGGGTTGGCTCTTGACGAAAAAACTACTCATAGAGGCTATGCGTTAGTGCATCCTCAGGAGATGTTATGTGTTCCATATCACTGGGGAAGGCTCAAGCAAACCTTTTGTGCATTCATTGTAACTAAATAAAAATGACAAAAAACAGCCTGAGAGACACCATGGAGATGCCAGCAAGGCATAACCACAATTGAAGTTTGAGGGATTTTTTTCCCAATTCCTTCAAGGTACTTCTAAAGAACCATGAAGGATCCACAAAGCAGGGGTTAAGAGTGAATAAGACTTACAATGCCCGACTGGTAATAAGACTGGTACTGAAGTGGGTAAGGTGGATTTTTGCAATACCACGTCTAAGCACACGCTAGATGTGGGTTGAAAGCACTGACTTCACACTGGATAGAGTTTCAGGCATCAGCTAGCACCTTAAGAGTCTTAGTGGCCTTTAATACGGCCAAGTTAACTTCTATGCATGTATACTGTCAGCCAGGTCTGTGTTTAATTCGTGCAAAGTTGGATCAAACAAAATGGGCCCAAGAACTGTAGCAAAAAATGAAATCTCAGATGCTGGGGGTGCCTGCTTGTCCTTATTCCAGTAATCAGGGTTACAGTTGGGGAGTAGCAACCTGCATTACTGGCTACAGTACAAGTTCACTTGACGCCTCAGCTCCGAGTCTTCTTGAGTCATCTGTCACAAGCCTAGGGCTTCACTGTCAAGACTCCTACTTACACTCAGTGTGTACTCGATGGTTGAGAAAGCAGGAATTAACTCAGCTGGTTGGTGCTGCTCAGAGATGCCTCTGTACTGAGGTGGGAACTGCAGCATTAAGAATAAAATCAAACTGGGTCAATGATCTGTACCTTGCATCAGCACAGCAACTTTTGTCTAGATGTTTCCGAAATAGCCTAAAGTCTCAGAAGTTCCCGTCTTTACCCCACTGCCGACATCTTGGCTGGGTAGTATAAGTAAAAGGAAAGTGTGACAATTCTGGGCAGTGGAAGCATTCAACGTTTCCTGAGGCCCAACAGAGAAGAGTAATAATGGGAGTAGGATTTCAACATATGAGCTCCAGAATACCGCTCCAACATTCAACTTTAAGTGCGTTAAATTAGGCACAGAAATTGGTCAGACGAAATGTACATTAATCTGCTATTACGAGTTTTGAACAGAAAAATACCAAGCTCAAAAACCCAATAACGCAATTAAATGTTGTCAGCACAAACGCAAGAGTAAAATCACAAACAGGATTTGGCTTTTGCAACTTTTACATTGAATTTTATGCATTTTTACAGTGGATTTGAAATTTTATGCGAGCATATACGGTACAAGCAAGATAAATCTTCATTTCAAAAGCTTGAGGAATTAATGAATCAACATAAGGTGTTATGTATTCGGTACCCAGCCCAATCCCGCTATGCACCACAACAAAGCTATGAACAGTTCCAACATCGTGGCAAATCATGCTGCTGTCAATTAAATTCACAAAAAAAGCAGGATTAACTTACCTGATTTCTCTGAAAGCAAAAATTGCAAGTCCACAATTTGGCATTGTAGTCGACTTGGCTGTGGATGGTGCAAACAAAACAGAAAAAAGGTGCTACTTGTCTTTTTTTTGGTAGGACTAAAAGCAAAGTAAAACAACAAATGAATCCCCACAACACCAAACACTCTGTGAAGTGGCCATTTCTCTATCAGCTGCCTGAGTTTTGGCGAGAGAGCTTGCCATGTCTGAGATGGGGATTTTTTTTTTTGCTCCAGTTCATGACCTGCAGTGCGAAGTTGGTCCCCATCTGAATGCACGGCACAAGGTCTGATTAAAACGCAGAGCAAGCACAGGGATATTCCATCTTCAGGGAGTCACGGTGATGCATTTACACTTGCCTTGCCTTGTGCCTCTTTGACTATGGTTCAACACTCGCTCCAGTCAAAAAGGGGTTGATTTTTTTCAGTACAGAGGCCAGTGTTAACCACCACAAGGCCACCAACCACAAGAGACTTGTAAGGACTTCTGATGGACTATCCCTGAATCACTTCAATGGTTTTTCCTCCTGCCTCTAAAACTGAGCATTTCTGTTCTACCCTCCCTGTCTAGTAGGTAACGGAGTCCCCCCTACCGCCAACCCGGTAGCGGGGACTCCGACTCCCTACCGCCAACCCGGTAGGGGGGACTCCATGAGCAGGAACCTTCCTAATCCTTGCCAATCCCAACACCATGCAGTAAGCTGTGCACATAAACAGTTGGACCCTGTTTATTTGTGGTTTGCCTAATCCCAGGTAAAAACAGTCAGTTTGCTAGTGTAGTGCTCATCCCAACAAACTTCAACAAACCCTGGTGTTTGCATGTGGCTAGTCCAGGATTGGTTAGGGTCAAGTCTTGTGCAATCGTGTTTTTCTGTACCTTTGAGGAACTACTGGTTTCATCACCAGAAAGACCAGAAACACAGGAATTCATGGGACCAGTTTTGAGAGAGTCTCACCAGAATGGATTGAGGACAGCTCTGCAGGTGGACCTTGCACACAGCACTGGCTCATACTGGACCGGAGGCAGGTCGGGGCGCTCCTTGAGGGGCGTGTACAGCGCTGCCAGGGGCACGACCATCCGCGTCGCTTCGAGGCGGCTGGAAGGCCAGACGTTCCAGCTCAACCGGACTCCGTCCCGATCTTCATTCTGTTGAATGTACTCCTGGTACGTTGCCATGGCAACAGATCTGCGGAAGTCACAGCACAACTTTTGGTTTTGTATTAAAGGGTGTGATAAACTGAAAAGTATGAATGTAGGATCCCAACACCAGTTCAGAAACAGATTTACGAACCCCCCCCCAAAAAAAATCCTTTCCCTATCACGCCTAAATTCCACAGTAGGAGTTCAAATCACAGTTATAACTTGCTCTCCTGAAAAGATTTCAGAAATCAGGAAAAGCTAGTATGGTACATGTATGCATTCCAGCAGACAAAAGAGAGATTTGATGAGTGGACACGGTGGACTGATGGTGGATGACAACAACAGAGAGAAAAGACACAAGAGCAACTTTGTTTAACTTGGGTTTGAGGTTTCTAGAAATGTATATGTTAATCTATTTTTGGTTTTATTAACTACTGAGTTACAAAATTGATATTTAGTTTATCCTAAAAGTCGTGAAGCTACCACTCAGGATCGATCTCTGATGCATGCTGTGGCGAATCTCGGTTGATTTGCAACTGCATGATGTTCGGTAGGTTTTGTGCACAAAATAGTGGGAGCCAAGGACGATGTTCGGTACAGCCACATATTTGCGGTGTTCGGTATAGCGACGTTCTACTGTACTGGCATCAGGAGGCTGTAGTCTTTTCACAGATTTTTTTTGACTAAGGCAAGGGAGAAATACAGTGTACCTCATGCCACTTTGATATCAGTGTTGTTCGGTGTTTCCTAGTTTAAGAATTTCAGAAGCTGTTAGATTCCAGTTGTGAGACACGGACGACAATGACATTCCCAATGACAATAAAGCATTTTACTTCTCAAGCAATAGAAAAGTGGGCTTGGGTAGACTCACAACTTTAATTTGGAAGGTGCAATATTTTGGAAATTAAATGATACATAGGATAAACCACCTACATCACCTAGACCCAGAGTTGGGTCTAGTCTACTGAATTCCCTCTGTATCCTTGGCCCCACAGCGGTCAATCCAAAAAGTGGAGACTCCGCGAAAACGCCTTCTATGAAATTCGTTTTGCGTGTATAGATCACTCACCCCATCAAACCACCGATGTATTACTTTGGGCGATTTCCAGTTTGTAAAGTCTGTGAAATTTTGATTTCGATTTAAGCCATTCATTTACTACAGCAATTAACTCCCAATTGCTGACCAACGCCAAACACAGTCGGGGTCTGTTTGGTCTGAACAGTATTTTGCAACTTTTGGGAGACTTAAAATTTCCCCAACATGCCCAACAAATCTTCATCTTCAGTTAAAATTTACTCAAGGTGTAGGCATGGTACTCATCAGGTTGGGGACCAAACCACAAACTAGCGACGACGCCAGATTATGCATACGCTGCTTGTTTGTGCAACGATGATGTAATTTTTGAACTATTTTTAGATCACGGTTCGCAGATAACATTGATCTCTTTATCGGCCAGAAATTTCAAAACAAATTCCTCTGATTGATCAACTTTACAGGAAATATGCTACCCAAGATCTAAATGAAACTTTCCTTTCATTAGGTATCTATAAAAGTGGATCAAGGAGATTTTTCGGTCAAATCTTGCACTGGATGTGTCGAATTCGGTGGGCAGGCAAAGGCAACTCTGCCAATAAAAACGTTTACATGAAAAAAATGAAGTTTTGCCGAAGTTTACTTTATGCATGAAAATGTTGCCATAATAAATCTCCATCAATTCGCCGTGGCACATTTTATGTTTACCATGGCGATTTTCCAAAATAACGATCGAAAACACTTTTGCCATGGACTCAAACGGTAACGGCAACGGTGGCCATGTTGGTTGCCGGCATTTCAAATCTTGTTTTTTTCCCAAAATCGTGCGGGAAAATTACATCATTATCACAAGACCTGATGAAAATGACGTCACTGCCTCTTGAACTAGCGACATAAGCAGAAGCTAGGGACGTCGCTAGATTGTGGTTTGGTCCCCGACCTGCTCATTGGTAGGAAACGGGCATAAGATATAACACTGTCACCAACACAGAAACAGACTCAATAAACATGACAAAATGAACAGCAACTTTTGATATGATAAAGGATGCCCGAATTATGGACACGACAGAGTCACAGACAGCTTGTCTTTCCTCTTGGCATGGGGTCCTTATTCAGTCTGTGAGTGGCACACTCAGACAACTGCATGCTATTACGAGCATGACTAGGGAGGCCTAGTGTGACTTTGTCGTCAAAAAATTGAAAATTGGCTTACCTTTGTTTTGACTAAAACCACTTTTGAAATCTTCAAAAAACTGTATGACTCCTCAAAAATGGGAAGAAATTGTTCATGTGTAAAATAATCCACGTATTACAAATTCACGGTATTTACGCCGAACTTTAGACTGCCCTTCGTGGCATCATGATGTAACGTGCTCACAAAAAGGTTTTCGCCAAATATGACCTTGTTCCTTATGTTTTGTCGTTTCATTATGAGTACAGCATGGAACGGCATCAGACTACTGCCTGCACTGCCGACGCAATGCCACGTCAAAAAATCGGAACAGGCACACGCCCTCTATCTACCCGTTGACGTTTTCACGTTGGCCGTTTTCCAATACTCAACTGTGTCTCCGTCTGAGGATCGTTCCCAAAACTAATCCCCGATTGTGGACCTGAAGCATTTAAATTACATTGTATTACTATAATTTGGGGCTTTCTTGCATCTTATTTGATGTTCTGTGGCACTATTAGACTGATTACTGCGCTTACAGCTTCAAAGTCAGCTAGTAAAAAAAAGTTGAAGCCTCCGACGGAGCTGAAATTGAGTATTGGAAAACAGCCGCAGTACGCCGCCGTTTCGGGTAAGTCTAGTGACAAACGCCCTCTGCTGTAGTTTTGAAAGGGAGCTGTTGTCGGGTTCGCAAAGCTAAAGCTAAATAACGTGAGATTTCCCAACTGTCTGAAAAGACAGAGCTTTGGAAAGGCGGTCATGTGAAGGTATGCACACTTTTGCTAGCACTAGGAAGGGTCCTTGGCTCGGAGCGTGGGGGGGCGCATTCGTAAATACCAGACTGACCAGCAATTTAGTGCGATGGGAGTAATTCCGAATCCGATGTATTTGCGAAGAAATTGGCGGTTTTGATTTTCTTATCTTTCTATTTCCTTTTTAATTCGGTTCTTTTTTTCCTTCCCCCTCAGGATTGGACGCAAGCCTCGTTATTTCACAGGAATAGTATGTTGATCGGGGCCAGCTCAATCGTTGGTTTTAGGCACCTGCAGGGCTCCAGGCCTCACGAGTGACAACTTCATCTTGATTGCTTAGCGCTGGAACATCATACTTCGTATTGATTTCGAGCTGGAGTTAATTAAGCTCAAGGGCAGATCCTGGGGCTTGCGATGGGGGCTATAATAGCCCCCCCCCTCGAAAACAACCAGAAAATTATTTGAGAAGACTTTTCGGAGGGACTATTTCGTTCGTAAAAAGCGCGTAAAAAGCACCACAGTGTACTCTTATCCCTAAGAAGGATCATAAAAGATTGCAGTAAAAAAAAAATTGCCCGCCCTCAAAGAAAACACAATTCTGACCCCCTCGAACCGTCCTTGTACAAGCTTTCCCAAATTTTTATTTCATTTATTTATTTTACATCTTCTCACATTAAAATATGCAAAAGAACAGGGAAGTTTAAGGAGGAACATAAGTATTAAACTGCAATCAGAAAGATTTGTTCAACCAGAGCGAGTATTCAGAACCAGACGCCGAAGCTCTGAGTTTGCTATATTGTTAGCTTAAACGGCCAGCCTGGGGATCATACTTGCAGTTTTTAATAAGACGCTGTTTCAAATATTCATGACACAGCAAAGATGCATTAGCCCCTTGTCGGTCGCCTCGAGTGAGTTGCATGAAGCAAGGTCGTAGTCACGCAATGATCGATCATAAACAAAATAATTATGCCCCTTTTCACACCCAAGTTTCGTTCCACCCGACTTAACGATGCAAACAGCCATACTGAATGCCAAGTAATGATGGCCGTGAACTATAGGAAATGTGCTGAAAAGATAAGACGGTCACCTTGGATTTTTATGAACAGACAGGATTGACCGCATTTCATCTGGAGTGCAGTGCCAGGCCAAGGCGGTATAGGGAATGAGGTTGTCGTCCATAGTACGGTTAAAATATGAGATTACAAGCAAGGCATTACCCATAATTATGAGGTGATGTATAGATCATTCTTATGAAGTACGTGCAACCATATAGAATGCTGTGTTATTTTCAAGCAGTCACTGATGGTAACTGGTTCAGATTGAATTCTTACAATAAAACCAATACATCTTGTGTCTTTATACATCAAAGTCATAAGGAGCCGTTTGTGCCGTAATTGGATCAAAGTGAGGCCTAGGGTCTTCAAAATTCCTTGTACGTGTATGCACAAGTAACTCAAAGTCTTTCAAAGAGGCAACTAACTCAGAGCAGTATTTATAGTGGATCCAGCAATGCAAGATGTTTCAAGGACGGGGTCTGCCGAGTGTAGGGATAGAGTATCTCGCATTGGTTCCTTCGGGTTAACACCTACCGTAACTTTTCTTTTAGTGTTCTTTATGTTAACAAACAAAATCTCATTCATTGCACTACCAACCATGAGACAGCAGAAGCGGAATCCAATTCCCTATATTCTCAAACATCGAATCAACCTTTTCCCAATCGTGCACAGCTTTCAGGAGTTTTCTCGGACAGGTGTAGGCAAAAGGAACAATACGTAATAATCGTGTAAAGTTAAATAGTCCAAAACTCGCAACTCTGAAGTTAATACCTTGCCCTGTTGTCTAATTGGACGAAATAATGCGACTTGACTTGCCCTAGGGCAGAGACTTTTGACTTGGACCAAATGACTTATGATAACTGGACCAACTGACTGATGACTTGAAATTTATTTGCAAAAATAATTTATTGTCATGCCTGCCTGGTTGTGATAAAGCATGTGTGTATTTAATTAGGAACGATCTACCAGGTGCAATTGAAATTTAAAAAAAAAAAGCTTTTAAAGTCGCACCAGAACGGCCACATACGAGCCGTTCCGGTCCCGGAAACGCATTTATAATTATAAAATTAGCAAATATGTTAACAAGACCAACATAGAGACTATATACAGTCAATGCGTAAATTAATTTTAGTTACACTGTACAAATCTCCACTCCAAGCTTGGAAACATTAATATAATTATAATATATTTATCACGTATACACAAACTGAAAAACAAATAAATCTATAAAGTTTATTTTGAATTTTATAGATTAATTTGTTTTTCAGTTACTTTTGATGAAAGTAACTCTGAGTAATCTTGCTCATGAAAGGATAAACAGAAAAAACTAATACGTACACGAGAGAAAGAGAAGGCATTATGCCGAAATAACATCAATGAAACAACAAAATCCATAGCGAGTGTAAAATACGTCCCTTCTGGTGTGAGCGCAGCCCTCTGAAAAGCTACACGGGCAAGTTAGAAATAAACACCAAAACGCAGAACTTGTAATCTCATTTAACATAGTCTCTCTCAATTTCAGTTCCAATAGCAAACATTACTTTCAGACCTCAAAAGAAATAATTTATACAAGACAACTGAAGTAGACCTGTCTGGGTTAACTTATATGCAATTGCCTTATTTAAATCTTTTATTTGCGTTAAGATTTTCTTGATATCTCAGAATCGCAAAATATGGAGGGCCTGACGTTTCGATCCTAGCAGAATCTTTCTCAAAGGCAAAATGACAAGTGGACGGGACAAACAAGCAAACGGGGAATCAACCAAGCATGTACGAATAACCTTACAATTATTTCGAACAAGCCCATTCGAAAATCTATCATAAGGAAACGCTTAGGCCTATTATTACCTGGTGATGATTCATAATCTTTCACTTTAGTGACGTTCAAAATGCTAGTACTGTATTCTTAAAAGGTGCTTTGGGGCAATTAGGCCTAGTTCCATGTAAACATTGCTTTTGTACGAGATAAACTGAAACACATCCACTGGGATCGTCACGAACCATGATTGATCTTCGAACCCCCTGCAGAGAGATCATGCCCTCACTGATCTGGTTGCACTCTTGTAATGTGACAAGACGACCCTGACATAAGCTTCCGCGTGATGAATCGGCAAACTGTGTCAGAATCGTCACTACATGTCCTAATGTATCAACGTGATATTCAAATCCCTCTAGCGCTTTCAAATATGTTCGGATTGAAAGAATTAATTCAGACTCATGGTTGACTCCGACTCAATTGTTTGCGTCCTCAGGCGTTACGGTAGAGGCACGAGGTTGCTACGGTTGCGAAAATGTAGGCCTACTCTCTCTGCTGACAAACGGTAGTCCAGTGAGTTGATCGTGAACGTCACATGATTGCGTTGACATTTCAGTAGAACAAACCATGGAGCAAGGACCAAACGCAGGAAATTCGATTTGCTGACAGAAAGTGTCAAGATTTATACTTGACTTCCCAGGCCTTCTTACTCTTTCAACATTCGAAAGTAAACGATAAATGCACCAATATGATGGAAGGTGGGGTCCAGACAGCGCAAGAAACGCTTCCAAAGGTCATCCGAGAACATCAATCGAGGTTGGCCCAAGCGCGGCCGAACGCCGACTCATTTACCCAAAGAACATGTTCGAACTCGCATGAAATCAGGTACTTTGCTCTCGCATGACCTCGCATTTTTTGAAATACCAAACTGGCTAATAGACTGTAGTCATGTGTCGGCCATTTTGAATTGTAAGCGAGGTATGCTTTTTTATTTTGGGAACATGCGCGTAAAAATAACCGTAACGAAACAAAAGTTCATTACAACCTCGTGCCAGTTTCGGATTAGAATAATTTAAATTTGTAATGAATAATATCTAACTGTTTTTGGCAACATTTACAAAAACAGAAAGTGAGGTTTGGAAACCACTATAGATTGCACCACCTTATTTAGCAGGTTGCACTGAATACGATAGATTCCAGGAAAATTTCCAGGAAAATTATGGCCTCCCCGTGAATGGGAAAACAAAACCTGTGCCTTCAGCCGTAGCCGGATCAATTAGCATTTGGCCTTTAAAACATGTTAGCGAGGGAGATACAGGCGGTTGACCGGATACATGCTCGCTGCTTGTAAGCCCGGTGTAACGGTCTCATTTTTCCGGCGTGCTCGGGTTTCCGGGTAGTATGCAAACACTGCCGAGCGACCCGCACTTGCGCAGTGAATCCCGTTTTGGTGAGCTTTCTGGGTGTGCTGAGTTCCTACATCACGTAATCATGACACGCGGGCCTTCGGATCGTGCGGAAGTAAATGTTCGTGCGCTTGCTTGGAAGTGGTTTTCGCGGAATTTTGGTCATGGCATGGCGTCTAGTGCCATGTCTGAAGGGTGCAAAAAGAAGCGTCACATTACAGAACAAACGGTATCTGCAAAGTAGGTCTTATCCTTCTGGGATATCAGAATCGGCAGCAAGGAGCATAAAGTCCCAGGCAAGGCTCGAAGTACGGCAAGGGGCGGAGTGACTTGTGACTGTCTGCATCAGTAATATCCGATAAATGACAGCGGCATCAGTGTAGAGCGCAGTGAAAGCTTTAGACCCTGCTCTTCGTCGTGGTCATTCTGACAATGTAATTTAACATGGATAAATGTGCATTGTTTTACACCCCCTAGACGGCTTTGATGCGTAAAATACTTAACAACCTTGTAGTCTCCGTACACGTCCAAGACCCCGTACACGGTAGACCTACGTGTGTGTGACAGGCAAAATCAGCACGCCAGACAAATGGGCACGTTGCGGCAACGTGCTTATTTTGTCCAGTGCGTTCTTACGGAAATCCGAGCACGCCAGAAGGATGAGACCGTTACACCGGGCCAAAAGTTGAAGACCGGCAGTGTAGAAAGAAAAGCAACTGTTATGTCATAGTTTATCAAAAGTCACGGTGGTTTTATTCCCTGGAACGTGGTTTTGGGCGCTCGTGTTTTCCATCAACCGAGCAACAACTCGAACCGGCTGCCTCAGTTTATCTGCCTGGTACCCGGTAATGCGTTCCGTAGTAAGTTCCACACAAATCTTGAGCAGACCAGTTGCAGTTGCTGGCGTCTTTAGGGTGTCGGAGAGACTGGTTTTGTTATCTAAATTTAGTTACAACGAATGCACAAAAGGTTTACTCGAGCCTCTCCCCTCATACAAAACTCTTGCCCTATGAGGAAGCGTTACCGCATAACCTCTATTAATAAGGGAAGAAAAATTTATACATATTTATTCCTATTCATAAATATCCATAAATACATGTACCTTGTTTAGTCAGAGAGTGAAGATGTCAATATATGATGAATTTCCAACGATTTGTTCTATAATTTTACTTTCATTTTCCCGAACACCCCGTGACGTAAATACCTCAGACAGTCTCCCTAGTTAACGCACATTAACATTTTGATAATGCCCGATCAGAAGTGATAATAGCCCTCTGTGTAAATCACTCGCTGGCACCTGGATTCGAAACAGTTTAATCGATTCTGATTGGTCAAGGGTGTCTGTGCAGGCTGCCCACCACGCGCGCGCCAAAATCCATGTAAGGAGATTCTTGTGGACAATTTTCACAAGGAATATACCATAAAATGGACGGGGGTGTTCGGGAAAATAAAAGTAGAATTCTGAACAAAATCGCTGGAAATCCATCATATATTGACATCTTTGACTCTCTTGCTAAACAAGGTATTTATGAATGGTAATGTGCTTGGCCGGTCTTTACGTTTAAGACCGGCCAAGCACAATTTATTCCCTTATTATTTCGTGCTATACAGTATGTGCCACACCGAACTGCACTGTCAAAATTGTGTGAAGTGAAGCCAATCTCAACAGCACTTATTCCAGGTTTCGATTGCAGCCTCTTCTTCGCCGTTGCCAAGAATAATTATATCATGTGTCACAACAGCAACGTCGTTCATCTTGACAGGAGCTTCTGGAACTGCTTCCGAAGAGAACCACTTCTCTGAAGTGAACTGTGTGACGTGAGGACCTAGTACAGAGATGAGATATCAAAATAAGATAGGAAAATAAATAGTATATGAAATTCTATCCGATGACAGTTGTTGCCATGCGCGGTATTAATTTTTACAGCTTAAAGAAACAATTAAAGCGTATCAGTATCGAAACGCCCCCCCCTCCCATTTCAGAGGAGTCCTGGCGAGTTTGTGGCGAAATGAAATGTCACCTTAATACCGTCGGGTATTGTATTCAAAAGTCTTGGTCAAAGAAGCTAATATCTCCGTATCATAGTTTTGTTGGAGCGTTGCATCGTTACAATCCCCAATACGGAAATACAACGGCCGTCGAACTGTATAGAATTTGCTTTGTTTTTCATTTACAGCGATTCCAAAGTGTTTCTTAGGGACATAAATTTAATTTGTAATTCGAGAGCTCATTTTCGTCAGGCGAAGCGCTTGAAACAACATTGCAACTGTGCTTATGGCTATTAGCTTGCTGATGTATACAATTTGTGAAAGACGCTTGTGGTATGTGCCAGTTGACGGAAGGCTTACCTCTGGAGACGTAACCACGAAAGGCCGATTTTCAAACTACTTCAGCAATAGCCAGTCAGTATTAAAAGTGTAAAATGGCGACCAAGTGAAGGGGCTCAAAGCAAGCATAGGTCTTTATTAAAAGCTGGATATTTTGACGTTGTTGCATTTCGCCGTATTCATGTTTCACAACAGACAGTTATTCTGATGAGCTGTTACTGAAATATGTGAAGCTGTTTTGGCAATATCATTTGAAATTCATGACCAGCGTACACTACAAATGTTTCGCAGCTGATGACAAAATAGTTGGTAATATTCCGTCGACAGGCGAGCTCGCATTAGAAGCATCATGCAGATGTTCTTCCAATTAACTGCCTTCGCTTTCCCTCCAAGGGTGTTTGCTAATTCGCTGTGCGGTTCTTTGGCCAGTTTCCCGCTATGCCAGAGATATCAAAGGTAGGCATACTTTGCTCTGACCTGGATACAGAAAAATGTCACTGCCATCTACAGATACGAGAAGGAATGGACGTCTGCTAGAAAAAAATCTTCATGTAGAAAGGCTACGTGTATTTCATGAAATTGGTTTAACCCTTTTCTGGGTGATCGAAACAGTTTCCGTACTGTTGTTTTGCTTTAAAAGATCAACTTCTTGGCTCATACAGCGCTCTAGCCAAAATCATAATACATGTAGTCCAGACACCGATTTATAGTGCGTTCACATTGTCAAGGAGAAAATTCCTGTCGGCTGGTTCTCTCAAAAAGTCAACCCCATGTTATAAATGTCATGGCCACAAAGAGTATTTCGACGTGGTAATTGAACACAGACGTGACTGTTGCCGAAGAGGCGACATGATGCCCCACTATGTAATACATAGCTGTAGTTGTTGAATTCGTGAATTTCCGAGAACTGGCGAGAGACGCACAGTGTCCGTGAAAATTGCTTCACCTGTACAGAAACCTTAACCATTCAGTTTTGTGTGTTTTTTCTCGATTCTTTGTTAATGTATGACTGGACTCGAGGCACGACCCCTCAAGTCTGCCAAGCCTGTTTTTATTTATAAGGCTCCCCATCAGTAATTTTGAAACTTCAGCATTATTAATCCAATCGGCATTAAGAGGTCTACTCAGGAACAGATTCGAAAGAAAAGTCTCCCCACGATGGACTATAGTTCTCGGCAGTCATAGATCGCTATTTGTAAAGGAAGGGGGGCTAAAGCATGTCAAATATGTACGGTGAATGTCGGCAAATTTGCTTCAATACCCTTCGCAACCATGGCGCTCCTATGGCAATCATCAGCAGTACATGTATACATGCACGAGTACGCGAACCAAAAATAAACCAAACCTTCCAACAGCCAACACAGAAGCCTTAAATGGACCTTTTTGATGCACTTTTATTAGAGGTTTCCCCGGTCATTTTAAAAAGTTTCTCATTGCAATTCACCTCATGGAATTTTCAATACAGTCAAAGACAAAAGCCCGCCCTTGCCAAAACCGATTTTGTCTTTAACCATTAAATTTCAAAAGTTGGTCAACACATTTCAAGATAACATCGAGAATATTCGTTATTATTACAGTTCAAATTCGTCCAAGGGGTCGCACAGTTGCGGCATTCAGAAATCGAATTCGTCTTGTGCCAATCTCTTTAATATTTTTGTTAGGCAATTAGTCTCATTTTCCTCTGCACAACTGAACGCACACAAGTCTTGTTTCACATACGAAGTGTGGACATTCCTTTGTTCTCCTGTGGTTAAGGTAACTTGGGAAAATTCTCCTTTTACTCCCACTAGGATAACTCCTTCGAGCTGAATTTTTGAAGATTTCCTGGACTGTTCCCTTTCATTTTGCCACTGATAACTCTGGTCCTAAAATGCCTCTGAAGCTGTTTTTCAGAGAGGGGAAAACATTGTGTGGACATGTGCGAGTCCACGTAACGCCATCACGCTCTTTCTTTTGTGCAGAAGTCCACACTATGTATGCCACGCCTGCACATTGTTCGCACGCTAAGGTGTCTTGTTGCACTATAAAGAGAACATGGCCTATACATAAATGTCTCAACATCAAGGAAGAGAATAAATTTCACCTATCACAGAAGAACAGTTAAAACAAATGGATGGAATCTCCTCACCAGTGAGATGTGTGCATTGTACTGAGTTGCAAAGAGGTTTGACGAGTGGTGCGAACATCAATATGATCAAACTGCTCGACGGAAGACGAACTTGTTTTTCTGAATAACGCAGCTAGCTCAGCGCAAGCGAGACAAAATAGAACACTCCTTGGTCAAGATGTTGCTTACGCTCAGAATTCGGTTGACCGACATTTGAAATCGTCTGACAATATTGACAAAATTAAACACTGCAAGTGCCCTGAATCGATTCACTGGGCGAAATCGAAAATATACATTTGTGAAGTGGAATAAAATCGTGTTAAAATAGCCGGGAAAAGTGACCTCGCAAATGACTCTTTTTAATGAGGCAGCAACTCCTTCCGCCGAATTTCCGAGGCCTTACAAAAGTTTTAGGATTTCGGTCATCCTTCGCCCCACTTGCCAGACCGGCTGATGTCTTGTTTCTGTACCAGTGAAGACCAAAACATGCAATTCACTCAGATGCCATCTCCTTGCAGTTCGATACCGTGCACGATATGGGGCCGATAGGTACACCCCCCCCCACATGTCCAATCCGTATACACACTCTAGACTATTGTTACCTAACACATCCCCCCAGACGTCTGTAAAGAATTCCTGAGATTCCGATCAAACAATGACCAACTCAAAGGTGGGGGTGCTCTCCGCCCCATATCTTGCATTATATGGACAGTTCGGTGCCATTTGCACGGGCTTTGAAAATAGGTTCTCGCGAACTGTGTTTGCCGCGTGTTGCGGTATACCGTCTTTTGGAGAGGCATCTTCAAAAATTTGCTGAGAAAATGTAGCTAACGTATACATTCTGCAAGACATTCTCCATGGACTAGTCTGTAGATAATCCATTCATTGTAATTTCCTCCTCCAAAGACCAGAACGCGATACTTTAACAAAAGGTTAGAAGTTTTGCCATGGATCTGTTGATGACCATGGACGTTTGCCACAGTTCCATGCGTACGAGACAACGCGAGAGTTTACAAGCTCATTGCGTTTTTTTGGGGGGGGTGCTTGTGACACTACAGAAAGTTCGTTCACATGAATGTGAGATTTTTTTCAATCCGTTGTTTGCAATGACCGGAATCATGTCCCCTGGGATAGGTACCGACCATCTTTAAGCTCACTGCCGTCAAGAGAGGTGACTGCGATGGGTTCGCGGACCGCTGCGCAGTGGACGTTTGAGTTGCCAAAGCGGGTTTTCGGCCGTGATCACATCATCTAACGAGTTGCAACTCCACAAATGATAATTGAAGTTAAAAGCTTTCGATGCATCGACGCCAGTGGCTCTGTCACTACAGATGCATCTGCACATTTAGCAGAGCAGTGCGCGTGTAGAGTGCAACCACCAAGATAATCTCTTCTTTGCACGAACCTGACAGGTTTTACACGCATGTAGTCCATCACTTTCACACCCGTTTTATCTTCTTGTAGATCTATGCATGGCTTTGTTAATAAAGCCACAAACTTAATTCGACACAGCGTTGTTCCCTAAACAAAAGTAGATCGGTTTCTTCATTTAGCCCAGGGTGGTGTACATGAAACATATTTTGCAATGTAACTGTGACAAAATAGGCCTACAGCCTTACAGGTAGCAACTATCGAACTTCCCAAACACTGCCGCAGTCACGGGGGCGGGGGGCTGGGGGCACGTGACCCCCATTCCCGGTGCCCTTAGGTCCACCCCCCCCAAGGATGAATGGATATTGAAGAAGGCTGACAAAAACTTCCCCCAAAAAACCACACCACTGAAAGCTGGTGCCCCCCATAAGATGCTGGTGTCCCCTTTGTGCCCCCCACTAGTAACTCCTAACCACTGTTCCCAAAACCCTGAGCACTTTGGTATGAGACTGAGATGTTCGACCTGCAAGAGAAACAAACTGTACGCTACGTCACAGGCACTATACATGTACAGTGTTAAGCTTGTGTATTATGTACTAGGACTATCTATACAAGCTCAGGAAGTCAGACTAGCACATGTGCTCTAGCACGATGACTATTTGTCACTGACATGGGTAGCTTGTTTTCAGCTGCCTTCAAAGCATGCGAAAAGCGCAAGCTCCAAGCGAGAGCTCCTACCCAGGCCAAATGTCCGTGCAAATCTCCGGCGTCTTGTTGAACATGGTTGACATTCAGCGGACTTCGACCCGTTCCAGGTACCGCTCGTGAGGTAAGTATGTAGAGTACCGACAAGCACTACCGACGCTACTCGACGAAAGACCGTGGATGCCACGCTACGTCTTTAAAATTTACTGATGGGAAACGTTGATGGATCTTTGCAATGTCACTATTTGGACAGACAGATTTTCAGTCCGTCTATCTCAGACTTCCTGGCGATACTGTTTGAATTGTTTTGGCGGGACTCGAATCTACCACTTCTGCTTCACTGTAACCTTATCAGTGCAATGATTCTGTAGGAAGTTTCGTTTGTTATTACATTTTCGATTGGTAAGAATCGTGGTGCCAGTGCTTGCTTGAGAACATCGCTCTTCCCTTGTGCCCACCTTTGAACACACAAATCTTAGACTTAGATCTACTACCAGCCATACACCCCCTTCCAGAAAATGAACCCTGCATGCAAAGTGGTCGATCCCTAGTAGTACTTGGTGCCAAGTTATTGTCGTGGTCGCGGTAATGACGCTTGTTGTTTTCACTAGGGTTTTTAGGAATCTGCTTAATGGTTCCAGGAATAGATGTAATTTTACCTCGCAGGAGAGACCCACCATTACACTACCATTAGCATGCACGCTCCACCTGGTGCGATATCATCTCTCAATGGCCTGGCTAACTTATACAGCTTGCACCTGGCTTTCCAAATGCATTAAGGACGGTAGATGATTTTCATTTCATCCATCCTTATTTACAATGCAGCCTAGACTGATTTTATGGAAAGGAAATGACGTCAACGCGCCCCGTTAATGCACTGTATAGTAGAGTACACAAATAATTTCGTTCGTGTGCACTGCCGCGCATTTTAATTTCTTGTTTTATGTAACACCACGTGAAAACTGTTGCAGATTCTTTTTGCAAATAACCATGGTTACAGGCACAGAAAGAGCGTTTTGTCATGTATTAATCGGAGCATTTTCTAGGTCCTATTAGCAACTGGAGTACCGACAACAGTGTGCATTATTGTCATCCCTGCGCATGCACGTGATCGGTATGCCTTATATACTCGTTGGCAACTTGAACCTTTTGAACCTTGGTGAAATTTATATCAAAACTACCCTCAATTTTTTGTTTCCTTATTAATACCTACGAACAACCAATGAACGGTAGTTTGTCCTTCTCTAACGTAATACATTAAGCTACGTATTCTCGGTAGTTCCCGCGAGAGCTTGTGAGGGCAAATCATTGGCGTGCTTGGGCCGGAGTAACCCTCTGAGGTATGCCCGTGCACGAATCCTGCTTACTACATGAATAATAGCATGTAAGTACCTCGGCGACGTTGAGTGATTGAGACATCTGTCCTAGCATGGAAGTAGAAAGTGTAGGATTGTGGGTTTGGGTGCCACTCGTGCAAGATTGAATAACTTCACCATTATGTTGCTCATTTCTTTGTAGTCTATATGAATTACAATCCTAGAGCGAAATTTTGCTGGTTAATTTTGTTTCCCCCTTTTCGTACAGTAAGATACAGGTAGTTCCGACTATATTACCATTATTCTTCTAACATTTTGGTTGAAATAGGCCTATCCCGTTTTGCGCACAAATGTTATTTTGTCAGACTTTACCGACATTTTAATTAACACAAGAATAAGTAGTCCAGACGAAATTGAATGAAAACTAACTGCAGCTCCCCATGCAACTCCTCTTGCACAATCAAACTCACCACTGAATTATCGATCATGTCCAGTCCGGCCTTGCTGCCCCTTCTCGGCGAGAAGACCCCGGTGTCTGCGCTCAGGGTCCGGTTCCTCTTCCTCATGTACCGCTTGAACGCTATCAGCCCGAACAGCGCGGCCACCGTGACCAGCACGAAGATGACGGACGCGGTGATGCCGAGGATCAGATTCCACGTGTACTGGCTCGGGGTGAAGATGTCATCTGGCCCATTCACCGAGCTGGGAGCTTCCTTGCTCAGGCCGCCAGTCCAAGCGCTGGCGGTACCGGTAGATTGTGAGAGAAGATGGTAAGGCGGGTCTTCGGTCACAGGATTTGTTGATGAAGCGGCAGCAGATGTGCGAACTGACAAAGCGCCGGCTGTGTCATTTCCAGAAGCCATTTTCAAATAAATTTTTCAGACCTCTCGATCTCAGAGTAGACCTACTGGTTGCAGTACTCTTCAAATACACTACATACGCTAGTTTTCGCTTCACATGATCGCTCTAGATTATCCTCACCCGTGTCCTTAAAAAAACACACGGGATTTAACTTAATCATACTATCCAGCAACAGATCCCATTCAGGATTGCTTTTTGCACACCGTTTGGTTAAGCGATTGCCATTTTATTTTCACACCCGGTTACGCAGCAACCGATCTCCGGGCTTAATCTTTACAAACTCGCAGGAAAGGTCCTGTACTATCTATATCTGTGGTGGGAGGTTCATTCAGATGTGCCTGGTGAATTTGTACGCAACGACTCCCAGCGACGTTGATTAACATATGCGAGATTCTGTATAATCAGGCTGGCGTAACACAGCTGCCAGGCAGGGTAAAGTTTCAAAGCGAAGTGCCACATCCTGACCTGGGTTCGGCGTCAACACACGTCGTGTGCACTGGAAGGTTACGCGTCTCCTCCAAAGTTTAACTCGTTGGTAACTTGAGCAAGACGGCGCAGAAGACAAGACCGGACAGTGCACGCACACTGCGCACTTTATTTTCGGGCGAAGAAGTCGCTTCACCGTAACTGGAAGCAAGAGGCGAGTCGTCGTCGAAACGCGCGACGAGAGAGCTCGCTTAGTGTCTCCATCTCTCGACGTCCAGGGATGCAAATTACGCGCATCAAATATTTGCATTTGCTTCATGTCACTGGTCAAATACCATCAGTGCTCATTGCAGCTGATCTCGCGTATTCCTAACGGCCGCGCACCACACTCTTGGAGACGAGTAATCTGGCCTCCTCGATATACATCTGCCGATCTGTCTTCTGAACAAGTCAGAACTTTAAAGCTTCACAAGCCTCCATGGTAACCCTCGTCAACATTATTAAAGGCAAAATATTCAATAAAAATTAGAAAGTAGAAGTATGATTTTTTGAGTCATGTTTCCGCTGAGACCCAACGCAAAAGGAATGGATTTTTTAATTTCGTCAAAATAGGCCTAAACAATTATCACAATTATCAAAAATTATCAGTGTGTCCCGGAATTCGCCAGTAAAAGAGAAGGTTTAATAAAAAAAATCGATGTTTAACATGTTTTTTCAAGTTTTGTGAGATCGTTATCGCTATTATACAATGGGAATTTCGACAGATTTCACAAGGCACAAACCAAGTGATCTTAGTGATGTTATTGATGAAGGCTTGTTCGTGTTATCCCCGAGGAGTTCAACCCCCTCCTCCCCGAAATATCATTTGGCTGGATCACACGAGACGATTGAGATGAATTTTTTCTATGTTGACTGTTGAGCGTTACTCATCACACAAAGCTCTAGTATTCTGTTACGCTCCACCATCTGGCAAGACCAATTTTTTCCTGTCTTGAGAATTCTACCAAAATTGTTTAGGCCAATGCGCACAGCTATTACACAAGCACATTTCGGGCATGGATGTGCAGGCCCACCCAGACCTGGGTTCACTTTTGCTCACGTATCATCAGCGTTTTAATTTTCTCGGTTGAGGGAGGCGTTACTAATCGGGATAGGGAGCTTGAGGGGGCACTCCACGACTTGGGGCGTAGTTTGAAACAATACCCCAGCTCTTTTGTAACTCCTTAGAAGGAAGAAAACAAGGGAGAAGCCGACCCCCCGAGCGGGGCAGGGTTGTGCCTGCTTTCCCTTACTTTAATACTCCACAAGTCAGAGACATTCCTTCATAGCCATATCAACCGGTCCATTGATGGTCTATTCTTCTTGAGTATGCGGGTAGTAGAGGAAAGTGCTGTCAGGCGGTTTCGCGGAAGGCGCGAAAACGTTGGCCCGTTCAGGACTGGCGCGATTACTTTTTAACCACAAGAAAACAATACAGATCAGATTTCTCATCGAGACATTTCTTTCTTTCAAAGCTTTTTGGCAGTTGTGTGTATTTTTGGCTTAGCCGTACTGGATGAGTTCCCGGTAGAATTGCGTTTATTTCAGAGATGTTGAATGATCTCCAAGCCGAAAGGTATGTCATTGTTTACGCGTCATTCCTTCCAAACCACCACGTAGGGTATCAATGACTTGGCGGGGTGAATATCCACACGGCCCGTTCTTCGCTTTAGAAAACAGTAAACTGCCCGAGGTATTACCGAAAATTGATTTCCATTCCTCCCGAAGGAGAATCATGGTCTAGGGGGCCTCTTACGAGGCATGCACGGCTTGATGGCTATGCACGACATGCATCTCCCGTTTCAAGCAAAATATTTGCGAGTTTGGAAATGAGACAGCATCATCTCATGGGAATCCTGAAATTGAAATGGGGTATCATCGGTGCAGCCTTTGGAAAAAACCAAACAAACAAACAAACCCAGATTATTCTCCACGCTGGGGATCTAAATTTAATGGGCATCCGAGGAATAAGATGAGAATAATCATATTGGCATCGATAGCTGGCATTTCATTAATATAACTGCTTGCGGCAGATCCGCCGATACCGTCTTGTTCCCCGACTGATGCGTCATGTGTCATCCATTATTGATCGAGTCAGACACGCGGCGGTCCGACATTTTAACAGAACTTTAGCCAAATGACTTAGCCCTTGATGGCCGATAAAAAAGAGACCGTGCATACAGTAACAGACACGAGCAATGAAGTTAGTAACCTGGAGAAACGTGAATGCAATGTATTTGGAATTGAATGAGGAAGTTCAGCGATTCTGATGAGTTCATAAGTGGGCAATTCCAGAAATTAGGGGTCCAAACGTGTGACTTTTTTGTCCCCGTTATATCTGACCTTTGTTATTTGACATAGAAATATCACCCGAATTGATTTCACACTATTACTATTTGACTGGCAGGTAATTTGCCTTACCTCATCACTCTTGGAAATTAGAAAATGTATTCTGAACTTACAAAAATCTTGTCAGATGTGACAGGGACACAAAAAAATAGACCCCTAATTTCTGGAATTACCCTTCTGTCATCCAATGAACGGCGAAAGCAGGGGGACGATTCATGCTTGTTACGGGGTGGATGTTAGTGAGGATGGTGGTTGGGGTATGTCTGTGATGGGGTTAAAGGTAGCCCGGATGGCAATTGGTGTTGTTGGCAATGGTGGAACTACGGTGAAATTTGGTGGAGGGCACCCAGGGGTGAATACTTTTTTTTTTCATGGGGCACCAAAAGCCGATGGACAGCCGCTTGTACATAGGTTGTAATGGGGGGGGGCAGACCTGCCCGGAAGGCACATGCCTCGTAATGCCCCCCACACCCCATAGTTACGCCAATAATTGGCGTAAGTAATGAGTTTGCCGGTGGGAATTAAGGCAAGAAGATACCAGACGGAATGAGGGTAGTGATGACACTAGTGATGATAGTGTTGTGGTGGCGATATTGGTTTTCCGTGAAAATAAAGTTTAAGAGTTTGAAGATGACGATTGTCGTGTGGCGAAGTTGACGGTGACGATAAAGCAGTGAAGAGTGGTGAGGCGGTAATGGCAGCTGCCGCCACCACACCCTAGTGGTGACCTCCTGGTGACCGTTCCCAAGTTGCGTGTATAGGTCACGTGGTACCGCTTCCCCCCCCCCCCGCGCAAACAGTATGAACCAGCTGTGTGTTTATTACGGGAAATACCGATCAATACATTATAAAGAAAGTTATCGTGTCTGTGTTACGCGATGGCCCGAATGTAGCAGACGAGTCGAGGTCGGGTGTTTTACCCGGTCTGAGCGCGCATACCATACCGCCGGGCCAGACGTTAAAGGGTACATCGTCTACAAAACGATCTTGAATAGCTTTGACTACGGTGATATCCAGTATACAGTGGCGTATGGGGGCTGTTCCAGAACGACAGAATGCAACGTGCCAGAGATTCTTTTTTTTGGGGGGGGGGCAAGGGAAACTAATAGCAGCAAAATTAGACTTTTAGCGCACTAGTGCCTTTGTGGCCTAATTAATAATTATACTCGAACGTGAATGAGACAACGGTCTATTTCGAAGTGGGAAACACCTGATCTTACCAGCAGAATTAGAAGCCATATTGCTACGGTGGACGCTCGTGGGCAGGTAGTGTGCGCACGTTACATGCCCAACCAATAGGATGCCGTGTGATTCTCCAAATGAACGCGCGTTCTTAAGTTTGACGCGAGCGTGCTCTTGGCAAATCAAGACACCCTACTGGTCGAAGAGGCATGTAACGCGCGCGTCCCAGCTGTCCACGAGCCTTGTGCCGCTGCAGCAATGGCCTTTAATTCTGCTTGGCGAATTACACGGGTGTTCGATCAAGAGCCACAGTGTGACGAGTACGTTGGTGGCAACGGTTATAAGACGGCAACATTTTATGAAGAGGCGAGAGGCAGCCCGGCTGGTACAAGAAGTGAGAGAAGGAAGTGAAGAGCAACAAAAAATCAGTCCATGCTTCTCGGTTTCCTCCTCACACTTACAAGGCTTTCTTTTATCTTGCGATAATCAAGTACACTCAATTGGTAGATTGGTTGTTTTTGATAACTATGTGCGCTTATAAAGCCCCTTATGCTCCTCACCACATTTAATTTCTTAACATAAATTCCAATGAGACAAAACGTCAACAGCTTCAAACCCATATGGCACATTCAGCGGAGTTATTATCTATAGACACAAAATTTACAAAGGTGAAGCATTTATACAGTATAGTATAATTATACAAGGCATTGAAGACACTCTTCTTTCAAGTAAGCATAAAAAACAAAGCTTCAATTCAATTTTAAAAATTTCAATTGCACTTCTAAAAAGCAGACATTTTTAAATAAATTGGAAATATTAAATATAAATGTTCAAAAACTTAAGTCCAATAAAAATTAAAATATTAGCCTCACAGGCTTACTTCGCCTGCAGCTACTTATAAACAGAATATAACTAAACTGATACGAATTTGATTTCAATAATCAATGTTTACTTTCTTTCCATACGTGCCGTGTACACGGTATGATCAAGTTTGAGTGTGTCACAACTATATTCAGTACCTGTTGAAATGTCACTGACGAGAATATTGATGGGAACGGTACGGTAAACAACACGAGGAGGCTCAAGGCTGATAAGCACCAGTGTGTTGAAATTTCCAGAATATCTGGTCGGCTCCTCTCGGGAACTCCGTCGGTCGATGGCCAAATCCCCCCCCAACGCAATGCACTATTGAATGTCAATAAATTACAACTGTTCATAATCAACCATCCCCGTCTTCGAACAACATGTGGTCCGTCACTTGTGCTTTTTCAACAGACAAGCAAAACACGGTGGCTTCATTAAGCATGAATACTATTATTTGCTTTGCAGCAGGTTAATTGAGTTCGAAAAAAATACATTTTTAAACTCCCAAGCTAAAATACGCGAGGGAAACGAAAATCTTGTTTCCTTGTCAGCGGGAAAAGGTATTACAAATGCTTCGTGAAGAGGTCACAATGACAGCCTTACTTTTTTTTTAATTTAAACTAGTAAATCCATTATTTTGTCGAAGTGTAAAACGAAGCGCGGAGAAGCCGTAAGCTCGCAATAAAGTTCTATGTCCCAGTTGTTATTACATTACACCAAAGCAGCTGAATTTCCCGGAACGATTCTATGATACTTCAAATTAGCCGGCATAATGTACTAACCACTACAAGACTAGTGCACTAACTTAGTCTCTGTCACTTTGGCGGGCAAACTCCTGCTGATCAGCAACGTAAAGTGAGCTCCGGACAGTTCTCTACTTTGAAAAGGCCTGTTCGTTCAGTTACAGAAAGTCCTTTCAAAAGAATCCAATTCTAAAGATCCCAGCGAACTCACTTCTTGCGTCCAGCAATTTTTAGGACACGCACTATCCCAGACCTCAGAGATGGATTATTTCCCTGGTAAACATCTCACGCACTATCCCAGACCTCAGAGATGGATTATTTCCCTGGTAAACATCTCACGCACTATCCCAGACCTCTGAGATGGATTATTTCCCTGGTAAAAATCTCAACCGAAGTTTCGAGTCGGAACCTTCCAGTACTTAACGTTGCTATACAAGGAAAGTGGTAGGCATATTATACCAAACGGTCGGGCTTGTCGCGCAATGGGTACAGTACTATACCCTTTGATCAGAGCGCGAAGTCAAAAATTCGATGATAAAGGAAACGGCTGGAAATTAAAATGAAAGCTATATCTATGATCTAATAGAACTTATTAAAAAACCCATACCTAATTCAAGTTTCCAGCATTGATTTTTTTTATTTAGAGGAAGTGAAAACAGGTGTTCAGCTGTGAACCCCTGGCGAACAAGCAGTGACAATGGCTAGACTTGCACAAGTCAGTCCCACTGCATCACGTCCATTCCAGCGTGTTATCAATTTATCAACGACTGACGCACTAAGCCAATAAAAGCTGCACGTGATATCATTGCTGGGACTTTTTGGGTCAGGAAAAACTTGAAGCGAGTCTACTCTGTGGCCAGTACAGTGATATTCCCGGATTTGAGCTGTTACCATGACCACTCAGAAATTTGAGTAATTTCGGCGTCGAGTAAACCTTGCCCGGAGACAGTTTCTGGCGATTCTACGCACCATTTCCAAATTAATCCGGCATTTGCATGATAAAACCGCAGGAAATTGAAGCCAAATCAGAGAAACTGAATCAATTTGGACAGGTGACTTAACAACTTAACCACTGAGGATCGTGTAGCCGGAGGCCGACATTGATCTCCTAAAACCACGAAACACCTGCAAGACAGGTCAGGGTATAAGATTCAGGCTGAAACTTGATATTAAAGGGTATATGAATAATTATTATCATGGAGCATGGCTCTGTCAAAATCAACTCGCTGAGGCTAAGCGTAACGCATACGTCTATGGAATTTTGGCTGGACCCATAGCCAGTGACCTTCATAGGTAGCCGCAGCCACTTATGCAGGAAATGCCTAACGTCAAACGTTATGTTCAACACTGTGACATAACTATCTATGATTACAAACTCATTAAAAGTCAGATGGGATTTGTGAATTCCTGTTTACAGTGAATTACATCTCAACGATAAATTACTTTAAAGTGACAAAATATCTATTGGCCTATCAGTCAATTAGCCATAGGCTTACGGGAAAAAACAAGGACGGTTCCAGGGGGCCAGCAGGGCCCCCCTTCCAAAAATTCGTTTAGAAAAATAACGAAAGGCCACTTTTTTCGTCTACATGTATGAAAACAAAATGAAAACAAAAATCAATAGGAAATGCCTCTTAAACTTCCCTCTCGACAGCTAAACCTCTCTCTTGAGCCAGAGCTGGGTCTGCCTTCAGTAAACTTGAGGAAGGTGGAAAATCACCAAAGCCAGTGGCATATCCAGCAGGGCGGGGGGGGGCGAGTTTTTCTCGTGGAGACATATTATTCCAAGAAAAATAGCACAACCACCTTTCCAAAGTGGATCCTGTCATAAACAACTGGGCAGTAGTTCTTAAAGAAAAAAATCCTTTTACCAGACCCAAGACCGGGATATCCCACTCGACAAAGCTAAATCAACACAATGGAACACCAACAATAGAACTATTTAGAGGAGAGCAGTAAAGATTACAGCCCAATTTTTTTGTATGCTTTTGTTTCCATTTTTGCTTGTAGCATTTTTTCCATAAAAGAGAGCGGCTAGACTTCCTGAACGCAATATATTTTTCTATATACATAAAATAAAAATGTGCTACGCAGCACATTGTAACAGTGTAAAGTAAATACCAAACTCACGGACCTTTAATCAAGAAATTAAAAAATAGTACTGTTTTGCCTTCTTTTATACATTTATGGAGAGATTTGTAACGTGCACAGAACTTATTTAAGGGAAAAATTCCTGTCGAAATCCCCAGCAAAGTGCAAAGTTCTCTGTACATCCCTTGCAGTCACATATCTCACAATCCTTGTAGTTTGCAATTGTGGGCCATGTCTGAAATGGGTATTAGGTGTCTACGGCTTGTGTTTATACCATTATAGTACACTACTATGACTAGCCGCAGCCTGTAGCTTGTGGACAACAATGCCATTTTGGATACTGCCTTCCATAACCGATCATGGCGGATGGTACAAATTGCTAGTGTGTGCGTTGGGCGCAATCGGTGGATATACGCAATCGATTGATCTTTGCGCAAGTGGTTAATTTTATCAAAGGATCTGTTGATAATGCTGACACCAGCAAATCGCCTTTTCTTTCCGATTCGAGCGACTGAGCAGATTGGCTGATCACACCAACAAACTGAATGCTCGCACAAAGCCCGGGTAGTGGGCACAATACCAGAAAACCTATATGAAGTCAATGGTGTCTTTGAATGAACCTGCTGTTCAGGTTTCAAGAGACGTATGTTCTAATTTTTGAGCCCCGGCTTTATGTCTACGTAGGAGGAATAGTCCCTATGTGAAGGCAATGTGCGATTACCCAAGAGGCCAGTTTTAAAAAGTTTCCACTGGCCTACATTTTGGTTGCATTAATATCAATGGCCATCAGTACACTGAGGAGCACTTCCACAGGAAAACGATCTTCAAAATCACAAGCTGGTCTTTCTAAAGGAAAAATACCATAAGAGAACAATTAAATATCCCTTTGTGAATTAATTACTAAGTGGCTGGACACTGATAAAGCAACGTAATACTTCAACTAGTCACTGCAAAATGTCATTTGTCCCATTCCAAGAAAAGCACCCTGCAGAATAGAAATTAACTTTTACTGTTCATATGCAGGACTTAATGGCATGCACAGCTGTTGAGTCAGCATAAATTAATTGCATGAACAGTTAAAATGCAGTTCCCAATAATGATACTGATGGTCTGTCCATAATGCGCCAGATAGATGTGGGTCTGGCTCAGTGCATGTCAGCATATGCTTGGTACACAACAGGGATATGCAAAGTTCCATTCCATGGGGTGTAGTTTGCAACACCTTTTGAGATAGGAGAAACCTGAAATCAGCACAATTTTAAGTTATCAAATCCCGATGCACATTAGCTGAGTAACTTTCACCAAACCTTATGGACTGTGTGCGAAACCTGCCTATGGCAATGAGAGCTGACCAGCAGACAATATGAGAGCTGAATGGCCTCAGCAAACAGGGCTCCCATTTCACAGAGGTGCCAAGCAGAAAATGTCACCAGGCAATATTTGTTTTGCTAAGCAAAAATCAGCAAGGAACCGGTCACAAGAGATACACAATGCACGACACAGCTGAATGCGCACAACGCTGATGCCATCCTCACTAAAGAGGTACATATGTCCGGTGTCAATTTCATTCAGGTGCGATTTGCTTAGAACATCAACACAAAATCAGTTTCCCGGCCGAAATGTCAAGCTCAGAATGTCTCACGTGAGCAGTTTTCAGTTAATCAGTGAGGCAAAACATGATGGAACTAAGCACACAGTGGCTGTAGTGGAGACTAATGCTATAAACGTAAATTTTTTTTTCAAATTTAGTGATATCTGTAACCTGTGTTTTGTCCACTACGATTGAAAAGAAATGGTTTAAAAATCATAAAATAAAATTTTTGTCTGTGAAAAACAATGGGCATCCTTCCATTTTAATAAATACTTCAAGGCCTTTTTTGAACTATTTCCTTGTTTGGCAAGTCAATAAATGCAATCTTGGAAAGGCTCTCACTTGTCAACAGCATGTCCCATTCACGCACAACAAACAACAACGTTATTATCTTTCCTAATACCAGCGAACTCATTTCTCAACCTCTTGACCATTTCACCAAAATGCCTCACATTTTTTGGCGTCACATATGAATTTGGCTAACTTCATTTTTCTGCTTCGCATCTCTGTGAAATTTGGCCCAGAGCAACAACATGTGACGAGTGTCTGTTACACAGTAACATTTCACCGTTTTACAACTGGGATATTTGAGACAGAGCCCGCAGCCGCAAGACTTGCACAGCAGAAAAGGCAGATTTTCAAAACTAATGAGGGCATTTGAAATATATTTTGTTCGCATGTGCACTATCATATATTCTGTAATAAAATTTAGTTGTATTCTATTTTTGAATCTGCATTTTAAGTTTGTATTCTTTACAAACATGAGGTATAAATGTAAAAGATAATAGCAGGTGAATATTATTATTAGGAAAATGTTCTCAGGCAAAATTGGAGGTCATCAGCAAAGACAGTAGGTTTCCCTCAAACTCAACTGATGGATCTGATGTTGATTTTTCCAGTTCAAAAGGAACACAGACTTAAAGGGACCTTGGATGGACACGGGGCAAATTCATATTTTTTCTTTCTGTGTGGCCCGATCTTTGGACAGGTGGACTAGATTAAAAAAAATACCACAGTGGGGTTCATTCGTGAATTACACGTACACTAAAACTGGGCAGGAAAAATGCTGCCCTTGAACTCTCTGTCTTCCATGCACTTCAAAAGTTCTGAAACAATAAAACAGCAGTACACTTGCAGAATAGCTTGCCAAAAAATAAATAAATAAATAAATAAATAAATACATTTAATTAAAAGGTACAAATCCGGCCGAACGGTTGGCATACACTAACAGCTGCTGGCCTAAGTGATGGAGCAAGCTGTTAAATTAAGCTATTCAACTGACCAGTTGCTTTACATGGGTAATTGCACCATCGCTACTTCTCTCAAGCGCTGGGGCTGTCAGTGCTTGCCTGGACGGGGAGGTTTGAATGTCCATATCTGGGTGTCGGAGTCTGGGTCGCAGGGCCGGACCACTAGCCCCCTCTGGGGCAGGTGGTCAAGACACAGGTGGCTCAGCTGGTGTATCAGTCTGCTGCCCTCCCTTGTCCATTTCTGTCCAAGGAACATGGGAATGGTGAGTCGGTTTTTGCCATTTGAAGAAGCTAGCAGGTTGATGCAAAGTAAGCCAATATTAGCAACATAAGTGGAGTGGATTGGTGAATCGTGGAGTGCATCAACACCAGTACACTGGTTAAATAGGGGGGGTGGATCCCAAGCTAAGGACAATTTCTTCAATATTGAAAAAAAGGCAATTTTCAGGATAATTTCCCTTCCTGTCCTCGGAAAGGGTGTAAAAGCCCTTCTTAAATTCTGCCATACCCCTCAAAAAGACCAAAGAAGCAACAGAAATTTCCAAGTATTTTGCTCCTCATACAATTTGGCCTCTCCCCCTAAAAAACGTGGTTCTGGATCTACCCTTTAACCAACATGGGCAAATCAAGCAATGTTTAATGTCCCTCCATGGTCAGTTATGTTAGAAACCTTCCTGAATCCTCCAAAATCTTTCACATTCAGGAAAAAACAAGAGATTCCCTGTGCTTCATCTCATGCAATGAAGCCTCATGAAGGTGTTCTGATCAGATCCTTAAAGGCTGTTGTCTGTAACTAAGTTTACTGTAGCCCCCAAAGTTTTATAACTTAAACTAAGATGTTTGACATGCGATGTACATGTATAAGTCAACAATTTCCTCTTTTCCTGTTTCTAAAATTACTTAAGAATGTAATCATTAGAATGGAAATAAATGTTTTACAAATTAACCCAAAATGTTTGACACCTGCTGTTTCAGTCAACAATTTCCTCTTTTCCTGTTTCTTAAATTACTTGAGAATTTAGTCATTAGAATGGACACTAACGTCAACAAAGCACTGAAAAATCCTGTATCAAAACAGGCTGACCTTGCAGGACATATTTCAACCTGGGATGAGGTACGAATTACTTAGTGGGTGAAGCAGGGCCTGGTATTCCTACCTGTTTGATGTCATTACTTTGGCAAGTAGTAAGGTAGACTCTGGTATCAGGCACTGATGAACTGACAGTCAAACATTGGAACTGTTGTTGGACGGTGTCCTCTTTGGTTAAAGACCATGCCTGTAATTAAATGAGAGCGTTACGCCAACCCAGAACGTCACAGTAATCTATACAATGTGTTCACAACCTTTCTGCAGAGGCTCTATGCATGGACAAGGGAAGGTGCTTTTTTTCACCAAGCAATGGTCTCCTGTGCGCGGGTGAGACATCGTCCACATGTACCTGTAGGCACCAGGTGCAAAGCACATCCCAGTAGTTTTTGTAAAGGCCATATTCGCGTTGGTACTTGGTGCCTGGCTTGTTGGCAATTGACTGCCTCCATCATCTCTGTACTTGTATAAACTGATGACGACTCTTGTGCTTGAAGAAGACTTACATGCCTACATTTTCATGTGAACACTACGGCCAATCCAAGGGAATACTTAGTCCACACCGAAGGGTAACCTAACTCTTTGTCAGTGGTGAATTGCGATACATTCTAGCCAGCAATAGCAACCACTAAAGAGAATTAAGGGCAGCGCTGATTGTTTGAATATTCAGATATTCAACTGATTCTTGAATATCTGCATATCTATACACGTACTTGAAATCCATTGAATATTTGAAGATTAAAATCGCTGAGATAAATAAAGATTATTTGATTTACAAAATGGCATTCTGAAAGCAAGCTTTTACAGGAGCTGAACACATAATGCCAAGCAATGAGGCCAAAACTTACTTTTTCTTTCAATTTTTCTCCTTTTACATTTTGTAATTCAAGCAAGTACATTTTGTTCCTGCTTTTGTAGATATTTTGCAGAATATCTGAACATTGTGTCAAATGGAAGGTTGAATATTCAGATATTTAAACCGACTCAGCCTTCATGTTAACACTTTGCCATCGGTTCTGTACAACAGTGACCACTGATCATGTCTCATTTCCAATCCATTCCACCCAACTTGCTTTGCCCCTCAACTCAGCTTGAAACCATTTTTGCCACTGAAAAGCCCATCGCTGATCAGTTGCTGTCAGGCTGTTACACCATACACTACCTCGGCACGCTCCCAACTGATTTCCTGGTAATGTCTCGAGTCAAGCAACCAAGCTAAGGCCGTGTCCGGAACAGGCTTCCAGGGCTACGGCTAGGTCTATTGTCTAAGCCTCTCCACGCATTTACAATGGAGTGAAGACCTAGACCTAGCTCTAGACAACAGATTTGGATGCAGGCCAACCCTCAGTGCAGTTCTTAAAATAGCCATTCAGGAGCTGGCTCTCCCCCTTGAGTGATTAAAGTCGTCCTCCATCAAGTTGGCCCCACCCTGCCCCATACTGAGAGTATTACAACAAAAAAGAGTAAGGTCTGTCCTGAGCCAATATGAATTATAGGGCCAGTGATTATCTGCAGTTTCTTTGGTATGAAACGACTGAGATGATCTTAACTCCCTGTGGGTGCGATGCCAGTCTATTACAGGGCTAATGCAAGTCCTGATTTATGACCCGGCAATCTAATGAAAAGAATCAAGAATCAGCACAATGTTGTCCGACATGAATCCTCCACATTTTTCACCCTGCATGTCAGTTTTTGACAAACTGCGTACATCCAAACGCAGAGCTAGCTCTGTAAACTAAAAAAAATCTGGTTGGGGGATGGGGGAATGGCCTTGATTTTCGTGAGGTAGGACCAGTCACATTTATACTCCTGGGTGGAGGGAGCCAGATAGGGTAAAGAAGCTTGCCCAAGGACACAACTCACGGTCAATAGCTAGATTTTTGAGCAGAAGTTACACACCCTAACCACTAGACCACATACACCCTTCAGAGTCTTGAGGGCCTACCTCAAGCAAGGCTTCAATCTACAAATACACTCTACGAGACTGACCTGATCCTGATCTTGGATCTCACACGGAATGATGGAAGGGGCCCAGGTGGTTCCGGTTGCTCTCGGGGTGGAGTCCAGACAGAGGTCCCCCTGCTGTAGCTTGCCATATTGCACATTTCCCGGTTTGGGAATTCTACAGCGCAAGAGTTTGAAGTCTGTGTTAGACACATTCAGAGGTGCAAGGCAATAGTATTGCAGAGACCCCGTCACATAAAAAACTAACATACACTCTTTACAGAAAGTTGTAAGCTACTTTTGACCATTTATGGTACAGACAGGAATCAAGTTATCCCAGCACACATCTGTAACAAATCTGATTGCCCAGACAAAGACAAAAAATAGAATAAAGCCAAAGCTTACAGGTAGAGATTACAGAGTTAAAAGTCTTGACCTACCTGAGTTCTGGATAAATATTCTCTAAGTACCACTGGAAGGGCTTACAGTTCAACTGCTTCCGTAATTCTCTCCTGCTGTCTACACTGTAGATATAAAAAATACACCATGTCAGGTGCAGAATTTAAATCAACCCAACATGATAAAGAACTGGTGTGGTGGTCTTAGCTGTCTCCCGGTCTCAGCGGTCCCCCTTACCAAATATGGTAAAAATACGTCATGCCATCTCTGCGCACAACAACGGGAAAGTCGCCTGTTTAAGTGGCGTGCTGAGCAGTGCAATCCATGCATGCTTCACGTTGTACGTGACGTGTACTGTATATAGGCCTACACCAAAGATAATAGCACCGCTTATAGTACCGTGCGAGTTAGTCATGCAGACATCTCAGCACGGAAGACCAACGAGACCGTGTTTGTGTAGTGCTGAAATGTCCGGCTACATCAGGCCAGGGGGACCACTGAGACCGGGAGACCGCTGAGACTGCCACACCGATACTGTGGCACTGAACATTTAGAATGAAAAAAATTACCGAAATCAAATACCAACTTCTTTTGAATGGCAGCCAATTAAAATAGAAGACACTGAAGGTAGGTTTGTAAGCCTACTGGTCATACCTGTTGCTCAAAGTCATGTTTTGTAAACTTCTCCATTAATTTGGTTAGTCTGGTAACTTTGCCCAGACCCTACAGAATAATGAGAAAATGAGGCAAGAACAAGTTTGCAACAAAAATTGAGCATTCAAAACTTTCCTGGATGGTTGATGTTGTGTCAACATAAATGAGTGTCTTACTTCCCAAATGGTTTTCCCCTAGCTGAAGGCCTAGCATTGTAGAAGTACTGTTTGTAGTCATCCATCCACACTTCCGCTGTTCGTCTCGTATTTCTGCAGACAGAAATCAAAGCCAGCGTAAATGATTTGCTCCAATGGGCAATGCTGTTCAAAACACTGTGCAAATGTGTCACTCCGCGCGTTACTGCAACACCTGTGAATTAAGGAGGCTCTTTGGTATGCTCTTTTCTTTAAGTCTTTTAAAGTCAAATCACTCTTAAAATGATCCACATTGCCATCTCTCTGATGAACACATACAATTACTCCCATTCAATACTTTGGGAAAGCACTGTCAAAAAACACTGGTTTTCCAGCTTGTAGGACAGCTCAAAAGTAAAAGTATAGCTCAGTGAAGGACTATACTGAAGTGTTGCCTGATATGCTTTAATTTAAGTATAATTGCCAAAGCCAAATACACCTGCTGTGGTGGAGACAGATTGATGGATAAGCTAGACAGAACAGTGATTAATGTGGGTCAGGATACCAGACTTGAACCCTGTCTCACTGGAGCCATGACAGGCTACGATGAGGCTGAGCTCCTCAGCGGAGTTCAGAGATGAACAGGGTTTTGTCTGAGTCTTTCTCACCAGACTGTAAGCAAGACAGGAATGTGCAGATTGACCGGTCGCCTGGCAGGTGGATGGTATTGTTGGTGAGTTTATTAAAGTGCTTGACAAACGCTTGAGAGAGATTTATTTCCTACTCAACCTGTCTGCGTCATCAGGGTAACAGTATTGTCCTTGCTCCCGCTAAAAAAATAAAAATAAATAAAACATAAAAAAGGAACCTACCTGAACTCTGCATGCCAGTGCAAAAGAAAAAAGGAAAACAACCAGGGTAAAATTTGTGCCATGCCTACCTGTTTCAATGTTTGGGTTTTTAGGCACCAACTGCTCACTGTATACCAATAACTACGCTTCCTGATATACCAAGGTTCAACTAGCACAATATGCACTAGGGCTGAGTTAATTCGAATAATTCACTATTTGAATATTCGACCTTCAATTCGATCGAATATCTGAATCGATCTTCTAAATCAGCAGATTGTTGATGATTAAACCATATACAAAATCAGTTGCATTAACACACACAATTGTAAATTATAATCAACATAATATCTTCAGTCACGATTTAGCAAGATTTAAGAGACGAACATTACTTCTTGCCCTGTTGAAAATTTCTATTCCTTCTGAATTTTTAATGAATAATTTACTTTTTGAATTGTAAGATTTCTGTTGCTTTTCATTTGAATCTGCTTAAAACAAATTTTCTCATTTAAAACAAAAGAAAATTCTCCCTTCTTTTTCAGGAATTTTGCATTTGAATATTCAAATTTGGAAAATAACATTCAAATATTCGATGATCGATCAAATATTTGGCACAACCCTAATATGCACGCCCAAGTGCAGTGTGGGTTTTGCTTGCAGGTGTCTATCCCTTAAACAACACTTGTACCAAGAATATTTAAAAGCATGACGGATTAATGTCTTCTGTGCAAAACTACAAAACGGACTGCTGAAGGGTGCACTTGGGTCCAATCGAATATGAGGTCAATAAACTGATGTAACAAGGTTATGATGGTTTGAAGGTGGTCAGTCAGTGTTATCTCCCTGGGATGTTGGAAGAGCCAGTTTGCCAATTTCCAATCCACCTGAAATAAATTGTTATATTTGTTTTACCAAACCTCAGATATATTCCGTTGCCATCAAATGTCAGTAGCAAGGGAAAGGCAGCTAAGCCTTCTCCAGTGCAACTTGCTTTTGCGTATTCATTTGTGTTCATTTTTGTAACGACAGGTTTTGCCCTTACATGTACACCAAGGTATATTCAATATACTCAGTGTTTGTCCGGGAGCTTGCAAAAAAATTCACAAGCTCATTCAGGTTGGACTCAAACCCATGACCTCCTCCCTACTAGTGCAGACGTTTTAACCACTCAACCACCGTGCTTGCTGGGATAAACTGGCAAGTCAGAGCCAGATGTAGCAGCAGGTACTGCAAACATGCATAGCTTGCATATGCATGCTTCACCTAGTTACAGTGTCACTGAACTGCTCCTGGGGAGAACATTTCTGAGGGTGCGAGTGTCCAAGGGGCGTCACTCCGTTTTGAGAAGTGGGGAAGGGGGGCCATAGCCCTGATCAGAACAAACGCGAGTGCAAAGAGCGAAGATGTGACCGGCGTGGAGTCCAGGGCCTGCTCAAGGGCCGCGGAAAATTTTGGAGTATAAATGCTCTTTGGTGTGATATGACGCAATTCTTGGCTATTTTAGCCAGTTTTTTAACAAATGCTTTTGCAAGCTATACATTTTCATTTAGATTTTGGAAAAAAAGTGGGGAGGGGACAGTTGACATAGTATTAAGTGGGGGGTGGGGGACATGCCCCCCGTCCCCCATCGATTGATGCCCATGCGTGGATCTTAGCATGTACAACAGCAAAATAGTGACTGACATATGATGGTGAACAGACGACTGAGAATTTGGCTCTTGATCATGAATACGTATGAGGTACGGCAAATTAACCTTCTGTATCTCATTATGAGCATTAAAGTGTATGTTCCTGCCCCGAATACATGTCAATGAGGGGGCAGTGTACCTGATGTAGGTGTTGGCATTCCCCTCAGGGAAAGTGTACGGATGCTTCTTGCGGAATACATGGCCCACTCGACTACAGGGTATGATCTCCAGGCTACCACCACACTGCCACACGCGAAAAGAAATTTCTGGAAGAACACAAAAGTGAAAAGAAATATAATTTCTCGCTTTGAGTGATATTCGGCGAGTCACTAATTCGTTTCCTGTAACTTTCCTAAAGTAATCAAAGTCAATAAAGATAGCTTGCTTTTCAGTTACTGGCCTCTAGAACTTACAGTCTTGATGTTGAAAAACCAAACTATCCTAAGTCCACCCATGAATCTTAGAAAGCAAACTTTTTTCGGGGGTAAAGATACTTGGAATATCTTGAACAATATCAAAGTTACCTGGCACACTGCCCTCTACTGACCATAACTGAGGAATAATTATACAACCACACAATAAATATTAAAGTATCCTCCATCCCCACTTTATAATTATCTTCCTGTTTACAGTTCAACTGCATGCAACTTCAACACTCCATTTTTGAAAAAAATATTCCTTTGCCTCATTGCTTCATTTTCATTTGCCTCATGAGAAATTTGCCTCACATAAATGTAAATGAATTTGTACACAAATAATTGCCTTTGAAACCATGAATAGCCTTGAACATCAATCAAGCCACTCATCACCAACAAACTGTTGAACTGTTTAAAAACATTAAAATCTCTTGTTTCAGTGAAGGTGACACTCAAAGTTGACTTTCAGAAATTTTCCTAAACCAGTCCACAGCACTAATTAAAAAAAAAAAGAGGTTACATGTAATTCCACTCAGCAAGTGGTTAGCACTTGCATTCAGAACGCTTGAAATTTCTCCCGTTATTCAAGAAACCATGCATGTTTTATGCTAATCATCTCCTGGCAGGACTATAGTTCTCTATCAGCTTTTTCATCTTAGACTTTGGGTCAGCCCAGTTGCCCAAATAACAATAAATTAGTCAGTGGAGAGAACTGAGAGACAAGCAGCCAACGCAGGCTTTTTTCCCAAGTGATCTGCAGAGGATTTTTACCAGCTTTCAATTTTAAAGGTAAGCTTCTGATTTCACAAGGGACCCCTGTCTTCAACTAACCAAAAAAGCCACCACAACCTGATGGAATGCTGAAAGAATGTGCCCGTTGGTTTATCGTGCACGTAGCATTGACAGGAATGTTTGGATGGATCATAAACTTCCGCTCTGTCAAATGTCTTTGGAATGCACATTTCAAATGCAGATTATTAATCACTTCCGAAAGATGACTAAAATTCCCAAATGCACACGCTGGTTAGACCCTCAAGAGAGAGAGAGCAGAGGCTCAGTCTGGTACCGGCACTTACCAAAGTTTTCCCCTCCCCATATGTTCATCTCGGTGTCGTATTTCCCGAGCTTGTTGAACCAGCCTTTATTTATGACAAACAGTCCACCTGCAATCATGGGTGTCCTTTTTGTTAAAGAAAACAAGCCGTAAATGAAATTAGTAAAAATAATTGAAAGAAATGAAATCCTCTTTAAACAGTGACAGACAATTCCCCCCCCAAGCAAATGCTGTTAAAATGGAAATCAACAAGCCACTGGAATTTCAGCTTCAACTTTAAATACATCCCCCATAAATCAATGGTCAAACCCAGTCCACAATCTTCACTGCTGTATGGCCCCCATTAGTTGCAAAACCATTTCCAGAAATTAAATTTAAAATAGCTGATTTCCCTTCAAAATATTGTCATTGAAAAATGTGAAGGAGGCCAAATATTTCCACTCCGGGATAGATTTGAGCAATTCAAATGAGCCCATCCTATTTGGAATTCTTTGTTTATTTAACTTCTGTCTGGTGACTCTTTTAATTTCCTCCACTGCCTGACCCTATGCACCAAGCCAACTAAATCAATGCAACAACTACAAAATACACCAATTATCATGATAAACGTCACACACTGGAGATTCTTTTTACTCAAACAAGTAGCAGGCAAAATTCTACAAAGGAAGGAGAGGAGGCAATGGACCAAACTTCAGTCTAGAGGTCTCCGCTCCCTCACCGCTCCCCAAATTTCTCAAACCGGTTCTGGAAGACTCACTATTGTTTCTTACATGTATTAAAGTGAAAGCCTTATGTTCTACACTGCACTGACGGAGGCCTGTAATAAAAAGCCTTCAATAAGCCTTTTGAGAGTAGACTACAATCTGAATAAAATCTAGTACACTGAGTTATCTGACTGCACATCAACATAACAATTTGAATTTCCTAGACTAAAGATGCTGTTATACCTCGTGTTTCTGGGCAAACTTAGCATAGCTGCCACCATCTCTGGAAATGGACTGGTTCCTCTGTGCCCTTCTTATCCATTGAAAAAAGTGTATTGGTGCAAGGCATTTCTTACATCCGTTTCAGACAGGCACTTTAGAGTGGCACCGAACCAAATTAAAAGGAAATTCTGAATTAAGTACAGCAAAAGTTGAATGTCTGAAACAATAAGGAGTGACCAGGAGTGCCAGCAGGCGAAAGATCGTCACTTGAAGGTGCTCGGAACGACACCAGAGCAACTTGGTTTCAGACGTCGCTCTTTCATGGAGTCGAACTCAATGCAATGAGGGTTAGGTAACTAAGCAAAAGCATGCCCCGAAACATGAGGCATAGCAACAGTGTCTCCACTATGAAGAATTCAACCTGTTATATGTTCAAGGGAATTTGAAGAACTCGGAGTATCAGGTTTTATTCAAATTTAATTTGCAAAAGGGTTATTATCTAACATCAATGTCATATTTATGGCATCTTCTCCTTTTTCACAAACCCCAGAAAAAGATCTTGATTGCCAACTTGATTTATTTTGTTTCAAGTTCCAAGCACAGCAGGTTCCCTCCTGTCTGCACTCTCAAACATTATTAGATTTCAGCAGGTCATTCAGCCAATTGACTATCATGGCAAGATTCAGTTTCATCTGAAAGAAACATCCAAAGTAGCTTGGCAGGAAACTGACACCGAGTGGATTATACCCCAAACCAAGCACTCTCACGGCACTTATACCCTAACAATATCTCCTGATGTCTGTACACCATTTTGGTGAGCCTATTTTAGTTTTATGCCCTGGACAAAAGTACAGTGGACCCACCAGTAGATCTAGATTCACTGCATGTCATGAGGGACAATACGCACGTTGAGTGTGAAGTGGTGGGAAAAGTGGCATTTTAACATGTTGGTATTGCAGTAAATGATTCATTTGGGGCCATTTAAGCATGATTTCCTTGTCCAAATAAACATTTGATCTTACAAGAACTGGTGCACAGTTTGCAGCTACAAGAAATTTGAATGATTGCTCACTAAAAAATCCACACACCAGGCACGCCATATAAGATTGAGCACTTGCGTGTTTGTAATTACATATATGTTCATGAAAGGGCACTGAGTACATGTAAATGTACCAGAATTGTCCACAACTTGATCTAGAAAGGAGTGACATGCATTGACAATATTGCATATGATCAGGAGTGTAGTGAAGGCATTTTCTGGGGGGGGGGTGTGTCATGCAATTTACCAACTTGTGTAACTTGTGTAAAATGTAAATGGTATATTTCATGCTTCAGGGGAAATGCTGATGGCCAACTTCTTTTATTTATGTACCGATTTTAGATTCATTTGCAGACCAATGCACTATTTGTCGACTGGAATTAATTATTTGGGGGGGGAGGGTGCCACACTGCACCCCCCTCCCCTCTGGTTGCTATGCCTCTGCATATGATAAGGCAAATGCAGGTCATGCATATCACTACGGTGCAAAGGTCACATGTGGAGACCAGGAAAGTGGGTTACTGGGAGACTGGAAATATTTACAATTTGCATGATTTGATTTGTCGGCAACGGAAGCTTGACCAAGGCTGTGGCCAGGATAAGTGAGCTCTGCCTTGAATGTGATTACCGTGCCTGCCTCTAGGCTAAAATACTGGGCACTGGACACTGATGTGCTGGAAGACCAGTGAAATTATAAAGGAACCTCAGCTGCACATCAGAATTACTGATTTCTTTCAACTGATTTTCATCCCTGACCTTGGAGTTTTCACTCAAAACAGAAATCATATTTTGATAGTGTAGCATCAAACTGTGTGGTACTAGCCCAGAGGTACATTCTTTTATTCAGTCCACATTAAAGTACATGTAATTCCCAGTTTCTTATCAGAACTTTTCGAAAAGTTCAAGGAGGCCTGTGCTTTTTCTTTTTTTTTCCCACTGAGTCTGAACAAGTCGGGAAACTCTAAATTAAAAAATAATGAGGTAGGTGTACAAAGACCTCATTTTCTGCAAACAAGTATAGAGTAGACCTGGGAACACTTAATGTTTGAAAGTTGGGAGAATTTTTAGAAATCAAAGCGCTGGTCTAACATTGTGGGGGGAGGGGGTTAATTTCTTAACAAGGCTTTTACACCGCTGCCACCTCGCTGCCATCCAGACTAATGAGTAAGATCGGACTAAAATTGCAATGAAAAAAATCACATTTTGATAAATAATTTAAAACCAGAAAATGCATTCTGTGCATATTTTCGGATGCAGGTGCTGAAGAGAAACCATGGAATTTTCTTTGAGAAGTATTGGCCTACAAGCAGTTTAAATGTCAGAAACAGAGCCAAAAACTGAGTCAACGCCGCAAGGTCATTAACTTTCTTTGTCTGTTGCTTTTGGCACTTCTGCATAAACTAATACACTCTTCACAAAGGATGTTGGTGGTGAAAACTGCATTCCTCAACAGCACTGTTTACATGCACAACATGCACACCTGAAAGAAACCCTGTTGAGATGAAACTGTTCTTTTTGCAGGTCACAGAAGTGTCTCCTGCACTGGGCATTAGACACGCTGGTAGTTTAGAAGTATAGGAATGAAGAAAACATTTAGTTTCAGTGTTTTGTATTGTGTTGGCATGAAATTACCACCACGCATAGCTTTCCACCGCGGGGGTAAAGTAGTCATGGCCTGTGGCACACAACTGACAAAGAAGCAACATTTGGGAAACGGGTAGAAATGTATGCAAGTGTTCTCTAAAGAAATTATCTGACTGGGTGCGAGTGCCTAATGAACCTACATGGAATGATCCCATCAGCTGATTGGATGAACATACCCACCTGATTGGCTCGATAGAGTTTTTTCTCCTTGACCTCTGATCCACTGGCATGTGCTCCCATTTAAAGTGTAGGCTCCAATCAAAACCTGCGGACCAAACCAACTCAACACGTTAAAGAAAGGATGTATGTAAATTGCACTTTTTTCACAAACAGGGCATGATCGCTCAGGCCAGCCTCAGTTTTAGGGGACAATTTGTCAGCAAATTTGGGACAGAGTTCTGGGGATAAAAACTGTCTCCATAATACTTTATTTCAACGAGTGTGAAGTCCCCTTAACTATGGAGTAAGTATGGGTGTACTTGCGCTAAGTACATACATTTTACTGACCCAACTGTGTAGAAGGTATTAATGATGTGGCACTGATGAAGTAGGATAACATTACTTCAGTCTGTAGGACCTGTCGGGAAGTCAAGGTGCTCAAAACTGTCCGATTTTCCCCATGACATTAAAAAGTAAAAAGAAACTTAATAATCACAATGTTTCTTTTTCTCCTTGGAAAAAACAACATTACCCTTGAGCAGCAGTCGCAAGCAGCAGTCACAGTCTCACTTTATCTAAAACCACTGAATACAACTCTAAGTGGGATTTTGAAATTCTGGCTACTTTTGTCCATATCAGGTTTAGATTGGAAATTTTAGCAAAATAAAATTTGAATGTTCTTTGGCTGCTCTGTAATTACGATTAAGTCCACCTTTAAAAAGTTCTGTCAGTTTAGTAATTAGCTTCAAAAGATTCAGTTCCTTAGACTTGCAATAATTTCTTGAAATTCTAATTTAAAAAAAAACCCTGCTTTTTCCTTTAGAAAATTTAAAAAAAACCTACAGAAACATGATATCAACCATTCGTAGTATTCTCAGAACTGATCTGACACTAAAGCAGATATTATTGCATAAAAACACCCACATGTAACCCACCAGCCCAACTCCTTTAAAATATTTTACAAGGTACACGTTGAAAATCTTTGTAGAAAGTTCTTACATAGATTTCAAAGAGTGTTGTGAGACCCAAAGAGGAAAAAACTTGCGGGCATGCCACACTACCTTATAATTAGCTCAAAGCCTGAATAAAACTTACAGAGTACGGTACCTTAAAACCAAACTCTAATGAATACAAAAAGATAACCAGGCAGACTCCAGGTTATACACAGGTAGGGCTCACTGAAAGCTGCTGAACCCGAACCTTCGATATGCCGAGGATTTCCTTCCTAAGTGTGCTAGACCAGACAATGATTCATGGATCAGTCTACCTGTGGGTCTATACAGGTAGAAGCCAAATTGTAACATCAACACTATGACAGGCTTTCCCCTTTTTATTATTTAGCATGCAGTTGAGACAGATGTATGCATTTGCCAGGAGCAATCAACCATAGCACTTAATGAGAGAAATAAAAAATTTCAATAGCCAAAATATATTAAAAAGAAATTTCCACAATCCAGTGCAAAAATTGTGGGCGGGTAATCCTGAATCCCTCATTTTTGCTGATTTTCTCCTCTAAACCTCCTTCGGAAAATTCCTGGACAAAATTATTTCTCTGGTCTGAGAGAAGGGAAACTTCACACTTCTTTGCATATATGTTTCCTACACATTTTTTAACATACCGGTAGACCTTTAAAAAAAATTCTACATTTGAAGCTGAAGCAGCCAAAATCAAGATTGAAAATATGTCTCCTTTGATGGGTTCAGAGGGGTACATCCAACATGCAACTCTGAAAAAAAAACCCAACCAAAAACAAACAAAAAACCCACCTCGTGTACTTGAATGCCTTTACAACCTGCCTCTGAAACCTGATCTAAGCACCTGCCTCCGAGTTCTGATGAGATCATTGTGATTATTGACTCTCTATTTTTCTTAGGGTTCATGTTACCCCATTCTCACTTTAAGAGAATCCCAGACTTCTGTTCGTCACTCTGATTGAAGTGATTTTATGCTTTTTTTTCATGAGGAGGTTTCTTCAAGTGATAAAAAAGCTCATGAAATGTCATCTGGGATCTCATTGTGGAGGAATAAGGAGTTGGAAATTTGAGCTCAGCCTCCATCAAAATGGCTCCACAAGCTCCAAAGGATACGGTGGATAGATTGCTCTCATAAACACCCTCTCCACTCAGATTTCGTTGTATAAAAAAAATGAGCACCATGACTTGCTTTTCTTTGAATAAATCTGTCAACGCCTGGTCACCTTGAATTTGCAATGTTCTCAGCTAGCAAAGCAAGCTGAAATCAAACACACCTCACAGGGAAAGATTTGAAATGAAGCGATTCTGGCATCGCATAAAATGGTGGAGGTGACATGTTGACATAACTGACAAGTGTTTTCTGTGCATAAACAGATATCTCGCAAAGGCCTGTCAACATGTAATTGATTCATATAATGAGTGCAGATTTTTGTAATTTGAAACAAGATTCCAGATGGGACAAGTCTCAATTTCAGCTGACACAAAAAAGAATAACTCATAGTTAAACTAAACCAACTTCAGGTTAACTCACAAGACTGCGCATTGATAGATGGAATGTATATCTGAGAAGCATACAAATATTGACTGCTTCAACTAGTGTAGTTAAACTAGCTTTTCAAGGTGATTCATAGAGCACTTTATTTTCCCAAGGTGAAGCCATGGGAAATCAGAATGCTCACTCCGTAGATCACAGAGGGAGAGGCTAGTTCAACTGAACCAGGATATAGTCAATATTTGTTTTATAACACCTCACCCACAGATTCGGGCTTAATTCAAGCAATAACTGATTAATTTAATCATAATAGGTACGTCTATTTGAATAAGAAATTGGTTGAAAAATTACTAGTACATGTACTTCTCCAAACTACCTCTGATGTTTGAACCCTGCTCTGTAGCCATAGCACTTGGATGCTCGGAACGTGCACATGAGTATGTATTTGCGCATAATGCCAATGGGCATGAATAAAGTTCTTTGGTTGCTACAGGAACAGTATTTTGGTTGTTACAGGTATATTTTTTTGGCCATGAAAAGCAAGATGGCAAACATAGCGAATGCCATGTGACTTCCTCTCGGCCAATCAAGATATAGAATCTGTGGGTGAGGTGTTATAAAATAAAACAGGTGAAGTTCTGGTTAAATTGGTCCCCAGTCGGTGACAATATGAAATATTATAAAAAAGAACGATGCACCATCAATGTGTTTGAGAAATGATTGAGTTTTACCTCCTCGAAGATCGGGAGAAGCACCTATGTATTTAAAGGAATCCAAGTTGATGACATCGATGATAGGACTCACAACACGAGTATTGTCCTGAGTTGTCATGTTGTGAGTTGTGAGTAGTTGTGGGTGGCCAGGCGAGTGTCAAGTTCAGAAGAGTTCCACATCCCCACAGACAGGCACAAATGGGTAATTCCATTCACAGCACAGGAAGTTACAAGCATGGTGAGTTTTGAACACACGTGAAATTGAGTTTCGTAGAATTAATGAGTTCCGTGGTATGGAGGTGACACAGGATAAGTTCACGGCACAACGATGGAACAGACAGCGTTTGAGGAGTTTCACAACGTGAGTTTTGCAGCGTGAAGCAGTTACGGTGGAAATGGCATCATGAGTTGTACAAATGAGTGTTGAGCATTTGCCCAAAGTTGACGAGATGCAAACAGAGGGAAAGAAGAAAAATGGAAAACAGATATGTAAGTATGAGGATGATTTAAACAAATGAAATTAACAAAATATACACCGTACATTATTTTTGAAAAAGAGTGTAATCTATAGAAACTGAATGAAAAGCAAACGAATTGAAGAAGCAGATAATTCTCACACATCTGAGTTATCTGGCAAAATTCAAGTTTCCTTTTCATCCAGCCGCAAGTGTATGTACATGTAAATCTACGTCATTCAAAGGAAGTTTATTAAATTGCGACAATAAGTTCTTAAACAGAGATCACAGAAAAGGAAATCTAAGTTTATCTACAGACAGCATGGTTCTGTGGGGCCTGATTATTATAAAACCTCCTTGTTCGTAAAAAAAAACCAAAAAACGAAAAAAATCCAAAATTCCCAGTTAAGTTTTAAATAGCAGGGTACAGACACATGGATGACAGTTCAAGCCCAAGAACCTGTTGATGACTGGCTCCATGACAAGCAAGCCTTTCAGTCCATAGCAACCTGGTGCTAGGTACTGATTTGTATCTTTTGCGCCTGGAGATAACTTCTGCTAAGACTCTTCGTATGCGAACCCATAAATACAAGTATGCCTACCAGTATCTCTAGCAATCAGGCCCCATGGCGAATGTCATGGTAAGAAGGGTGGGACCCTTCAAAGTCAAACCCAAATCAATAATACTTGATGAAACAAATGTCACTGTACATGAACTGTTAACAACATTACGCCTTGTACTTCTATCTGTGAATAAAGCAACCTGAACTGATTCCAAAGAACTGACAGACTTAGAACAGAACAGTCCCTTGCATTAGATGTGCATGTATTATGAGCAGTGGTTATGTTTGGAGGATGCAGTTTGTTATGGCGTGTTGTGTGTTAATGGCATTGGTGATGAGTTTTCTTAGACACAGAGTGCTTGAATGTATAGATATACGGTATGTACCTCCCCTGAGATCTGTCATGGCTGCCGTGTAATTGAATGTATGCATGGATATAATATCTATCGAGGGACTCGCAACGGTTTGCTGATCCTGCAAAGAGACAGAAAACAGGAGGAAAGATGAAAAAAAAACCTCTCACTCTTTGGGCAGAGGGTTCTTGTGGAGGACTATAGGATTTCCTTCTTTGCATTGTGGCAAAGCAAAGATGCCCTTCAATGCAGGCCTGCTATCCCCATCATCACTGTATAACTTGAATGGCTGTTGGAAAATATTCAGGAACCAGGACACAAGTACAGGAGCGCTCTATCTGTTGCGAATGCTAATATTGTAAATATGAAATTCCGCACAACGACCCTTGACTGTCAATAATGCATGGAAATGCAAGATAGGCCCAGTGCATGTATATATATGACTGACATTTTAAAGCCTTGGGGAGTTTGGCATTATGTAGTAACGTAATCCAGTCCCAAGTACCAAGGGACAAGAATGACTGCCAAAGTCCACCTGAACCATGACTTGATTTGGGAGCAGAAGACTTGTGATGAACCTTTGAGCGACTAGACAACTGGCAAAAGACCAGAGAAACATTCTTTCTTATCCACAATGAAGCCTAATTTTACAAAGGTGATTAAAAGGGATGGTGACACCCACACTGTGCCCAGTGTCAGTGCTGAGCCTTGGATCATTTACAAAGAAACTGGAAATGCCAAATCTTCTGGGTGCCTCCATCTGTAGACCGTGAATCCCACACTGTTATGGCTCTATGATGCACCCACACATATCAACACTCACACACTGGCACTCGGCTCTCAAAGGTGTGTAACAGGTGTGTATAAACAAACCATGCGTGTGCTTTATAATAGTTTATTCAAAAAGCCAAAATTCAGGGTTAACATCTAAACAAAAAGGGCTCAAGAAATCAGCTAAAAGCTGAATTATCACACCTCTGATACTTTTAAAAGCGAACACTAAGGTGAAGCTACAGCTTTAATACAGGAAATTGCATGAGAACAGGTTTTCTTTCTACAGAGGAGAAGAAAAAAGAAAGTCAATCCGATCTTTTGGGCCGAGAAATTCAAAGTCATCTCTCTGCCATGTGGGGTGCTAGACAGCTGCTGATGAAGTTCAAACAAGGCCTCCCTCACCATCCACCCATAACATTTACCAACTAACGTCCAAATGACTGCAATAATAGCCTGATCACGGTCCCGGCCGTCAAAATAAATGTCTAGCTTGTACAGAGCCTGCACTGCTTGCTCAAGTCGATGGACCGAACTGTGCTGTTACTGTGAGTGCTTCTCGTGTTCTGGGGTTTCATCAATATCCCTTCACATGCATGGATGGGGAAGTGTCACATGGGATGAACTGAAGGGTTTTTGAAGCTTGCATTTCCACTCAAAGGTTGTGCTCAGTAAGACAAAATGATTGACAAGACAAGACTATCCTTTTCCTGAGCTTATTGTAGACACAGCCTGCAGCATGAATCATAAATATAGCATTGCCACTTATTAGGTACGGCCTGCAATGTGCAAGTGTGGGCCTACATGTAACTGATCATCGCTGCTGTTGTGCAAGGGGTATCATCTTCAGCCCCACCCCTCCAAACAATCATCAGAAAGAAGGGGTGGGCCTCTAAAAACAGACTCACTAGGGCAACACTAAGGGTCCCCCAGTGTGGGCTCCACAGGGGAAACGGGTGATGCCAATCTTGGTTCAAGCTGCAAGTCAGTTAACAGGTCTAGCCGATGGTCTGTGATCACATCCTTTCAGTCCATCAGGATTCCATGCTGTCTGGGCTACAGAATCTCAACTTCTGCTCGACATACTGTCTACCTCTTGATATGAACTCCCCAGACACTCTGCCAAGAAACGTCCCTCGATCCTCCTCATCTATGCAGGAAACTGATAGCAGTTTCAGATATTTAAGGGACATCGGCCAAATCCAAAATAAATTAGCAGGTGGGTCTCAGTCTTCCTCGAACCTGCAAAGTCATTCCAAAGCCTCCGCTATGGGCCCAGTTTTTTTTTTTTAATCTTCCCAGAACTGGGGGCGGGGTAGGGAAGGGGGTATTTCGTCTTTCCGGCCCCAGAGAACTACGCCATCTTTTCTTCCTCAAAAATCAGGAACGGGGGGGATTAATCCCAGGTCCAGCTTGCTCGGCACCCGGCTTCAGATACTGACGTCCCCCCCCCCGCCTTCTCCTTGCCATCACGCTCACTTTGCACGTACCTGCCGATCCTGGCTGCGCCTGGCTGACGTCAGATCTTTGTCCCAATCTGATCGCGGTAACAAGAGATTTGGCCAGCTCCATAGCAGGGGCTTATGCCTGACATTTGGCACTGAGGCACCTGAGGGCCTCCAACATTCTATCGGTCTCAGATCAATTCCCAGCGTCCATCAGCTGCCGAAGTTGTGCTCTGGCACATCCAACCGAGCATCTATTTTGGCATAAGATGCAAATACCTTGCCTATAACATCTACCCGATACTCAATGGGAAAACCACTGTACACTCATTGGAGTGTAGTTACATGTGCATGAACTGGATGGTTCAACTTGCACTACCTAGTCATATCACAAAACGCTCTTTAGGGAAATCATCGCAAATGTAAACTCCTTCAAACTGCTTTATGCTGACTTCAGTGATCTGAAATAAATGCAGACATATCTTAAAAATAAGAGGACCTGACATTTTGATTCCCAGCATAATCTATTTATTTTCTAACGTAAGCTACATGTACTATTCAAGGACTCAAACCACCCATCGAATGACGGAAACCTAGAATGATTGTCACTGCAAGTTTCAATCTGCCCATCACTCAACCTGACAATTGCACAAGGCACCCAAACATCTTACAGAATGACAAGAAGATATATTGCAGAAAGAATAAGTACATACAAATTACAATTCTTCAGATCAGCAACCAGACTTTTTTTTATATATAGAACCAATATATCTCTACCCCCCTTGATACACGAGGTAACACAAAATGTGTGCATCACAAACCGTCTGCAAGATTGAGGACATGACTAAGGTGGGATTAATCCTGCTTATAGTATGAAATTTTTCCCTGGGCCTTTTTAATCTTGTACCCTTGGCGGAAGAGTGCTTCATCTGTGGACATGGGGGGGTGCCTCAGCCTAATAGTCTCTCACTCCAGACTGACCTGGTGAACTCTATGCAGCAGTGGAGGCAGCCAGTCTACGTTTGCCTCGCAGTGACTGTCCAGGAACGTGAGGATGCTGGCACTGGCTGCATCAGCCCCTCGCACTCGCGATCGTATAAGACCTGAAAATCGCACAACAGCACACAATTCAATGAGATCGAGAACCACATACATTAAGCATCATCTTCTCAGAAAATGTTTCCAAGCATTATGCTGTGAGGGCAAGGAACATGTCAGACACCCTAAAGCATCTTTCAAGAGCACTATTCACCTCGAGCACTAACATCTCACCATCCTTGGAACGCATGTCCCATACCACAGACAGGTGTTTAGATTTTAAAATTGACCTTCTTAACATTCAAGTAAGCCTACTGTCCAGTATAAGACATCGGTCTAAAAGCAACTACAAACAATTTATGTTGACCAGTAGCAGATCTGGAGCATACATGTACATCATATCTATTCCCTCCCTCTTTCACTTATACGTTCTTCCAGTTTGTCCTTCCACTCTCACATGGTTCACTAATAACTTTCAAGACAGAAATTTCAATGAAGATCAAGAGTTTTCACCTCCATTTTGGGTAGCCCCCTTTTTTGTACCAAAAATGTCAAGCATTCTCCCCTTTTATGCAGATGCTGGATCTAAGTGCCTCCAGTGAGGTTTTCAATTTTGGTTTGATGATTTTGATGTCTAACTCCAATTTTGAGCACAAAAAAACAAACAAACAAACAAACAACCCAACAAACAAACAAACAAACAAATGAGTAGAGCTTACAAACTAAGTACAAAAATGTCAGCACCGGATATGTGTAATAAAACCGATGTTAGAAGTTTTGATCTATGCCTGACGTTGTGTGGGAAAATACCAAAACATTTACAAGTTCCTTGTAAACGTGGTCCTTGCTCTGTGTTGCAAACAACCTGGGAAAGGGGAAGTCAGGGTGTTTAACAGAGGATTTACCTGTTTCCCAGAGGTACCATTGCTTGAATCACTTTTTGGCTACCTTGGGTAATAAAAAGTGGATTCCTGTGGGACTGTAAGTGGAGCCCTTCCAGGAGGAAACTACTCTACAGATGATAGATTCAAACAGCTGTGTGTCAACAACGTGCCAAATCAAGGATCTGCAAATCCAGTGTTTTTCTCTCTTCTGTCTCTATTTCTAAAGCAAGATGCCAAAGTTTATCAAAATTTGTTGACACTCAGTTTCTTGGCAGCAAAACACCCCTCCACCTCTGTAAGTTCAACCAAATCCAACCAAGGTACAGTTAGGGCTGAGTCAATTCGAATAATTCACTATTCGAATATTCAACCTTCAATTTGATTGAAAATCTGAATATTTGGTCGTACCTGACCGGCAGATTGTTGATGAACAAACCATATACAAAGTCAGTTGCAATAAGGCACACAATTGTACATTATAATTACTATAATAGCTTCTCACATTTAGGAGTATCTCCAGCCACGATTTAGCAAGATTTAAGATATGAACAAGACTTCTTGCCTTATTGCAAATTTCTAGTCCTTTTACATTTTTCAATGAATAATCTAGTTTTGAATCATTTTGAGATTTCTGTCACTTTTCGTTTAAATCTGCTTGAAAGAAGCCTCCACAGTGCAATTTTTCTCATTTAAAAGAAAAGAACATTCTCCCTAGCTTTTCATGAAGTTTGCATTTGACTATTCAAATTCGGAAAATAATATTTGAATATTTGATGATCGATGAAGTATTCGGCTACATGTATATGGGTATTTGGCACAGCCTTTGCTACTGTTCACCCACTGAGCTGACTATCAGGCAAAGTTTGAGCAACTACAGATAATTATTGATTTAGAGTTTAATTATCAGTGGTGCTTCTGCAAAACAGGGACCACTAAAAACATACATGTACATGTACTGGTCCTTGATAGCAATTTTCAAAAATCACCTTGCAATTTTATGAAGGAAGTCTTCATTATGGGGTTTAATTAAAACACATCCTGGCTATTCTTGTTGCTGTTGTCATACTATTTATAAGTTGAGGTTATTTCATCAAACAGGATGCCTCCATTTTGCTGCAGAGTCAGACCAGCCGAGGTTTAGTTACAGACCCATGTCCAACAAGGGTGAATTAGGTTAGAGAGGCAGATCTATAATGCTGGGACCTGCAGCTTTCAGGCAGAGCTGAAATTTTCCTACTTTGATTTCAAGTGATGCCCAAGATCCTGAAATAAATGCAATGAAGAACCACAAGACCTCACTTTTTTCCCAGAGAAAAAGTGAGCCAGACTCCTCAAATAATTTGCTGAGGCGTTCCTGATGGAAATTGGAGCAATCCTGGACATCATCCACATGAAAACTCTTCCTCTGTTGCATTACTCACCTTCTCTCCTGTCATTACGTAGTACTTTCACCTTGGGGATCTGACTGAGAATCTGAGCATCTTCAGCTGTAAGAGAGGGATCGGGTACAAGACTCTCATTAGTCATACCCTCATTAGTTTGGTATCCATATTTTGCACAGATCAGGAAAGAGGATGCTCAAAACAAAAAAAAGCTAAGAATCAAACAAACACAAACAAAAAAAGCAGCTAACCCACGAAACATCAGCCGAGAGGTTGTAACAATTACAACAAATACTTTAACTTTTCAGGGTTTCGATAATTATAACAAGGCTTGTGTTCTCTCCAAAATGGCTATGATTACATGTACGTACACCTTGCACGAAGTAGCAAAACCTGAATGACTAAGCCTCTAAACCCAGAATTACTGCATCAATATAATGGATGTGTAGGTTTCAAGAACTGTTTCTTATCATTCAGCACTGTAACAAGTCCCCTACTCCCTGCCCTCCCCCTTTCATTGTCCCCTCCCACTTTGTGTACCTCTCTAGACACACATAAAAGTGCTGTTTCCCCCTCTTTAGAAACATTTAGCCACCACTGTGTGCCAAGCTAATGTCAATCTGATGGTAGCGGAAGTTTTCAGGCTAAGTCCAAGAAGTGGAACCACAAGTCAAACCTATGCATGTCGGATATGCTTCTAATTAGAACCGTACATGTACATCCTCTCAGCACGAGGGCTCCAAACTCGATGGGAATGTCAATTTAGTACAAGGGAAACAGGAGTTCCCCTGGACCAGAAAATGACCGAGACTGCACTTCACATCCATTTCTGCCAGTTGCACTTTTCTGAACTCACTGAACCGTTTTTTTAAACTCTTCTCTGCCAACTGATGGAATGCTGGGTAGGTTCATAAATATATAAGCTAAACACTTCAGAGAGAGAACATTTTAGAAGACACAGATGACAGGATTGTTATTGAGTTTTTCAAGCCGTATGCATAAACTCAGATAGCGTGTGGAGCAAGCAACCCAAATGTATGGACATAAAAGGTGGGTTGTCAATATGTCAACCCTGTTATATTCACTCTTGACCCTTTCAGTTGAAGAATACAGAAACTGACAAATACAGGTGAATTGGGAGGATTGGACTACTCAAGAGCAGATTGGATGAACAAAAAGAGTGGGTGGGTATTTACTGCAGAAACCGTCACCACTCGGATCAAATTTTGTGACAACCTACTGACAAGGTGCATTTCATCTGGGACGATTTGGTCATACAATTTCAGACACGGCAGATCAAAGAAAGACAAACAGCTATTAAGTTGCACATCTACCAGTCTGTGACGTTGATTCGCCTCTCCCATTTCATTCTGACGTTTTTGTGTTGTGGGGGGGGGACAACATGACATTTGACTGAATTTTTCCCACTGCAGGCGCTACACCAGCGACAAGGAGCAGAAATAGATGCGAATCACGGGAAAGCATGCAAAGCCCACTTTGAAAAACGTTTATGCTTGCCAGTGACAGTTTCCAGACCAAACACGTAGAGCAGTAACCAATGAAATGATTTTCAACGACTGTCTTTCAAAGACTGCATCTTGTTTGTCGGACCTGGAATGCTAGAGAAAGCTTACAATGTAAATTGACAAATCAGTGGCAATAACGCCTTCTGCAAAATAAATCTGTCTCAGACATGTCATCTTACCGAGGTTCAAAACAGAGTGTGAAAATTATAGATTTGCCTGCAATCTAATAAAGCGCATGATCACAATCTTGTCCCCAACCTTGACTCCCTGAAGATAAACTTCAGAGAGCTGGCAACAATCTCTGCTGTCCCCGCAGGAAAATCAGGAACTATCTTGCACTGGTAGAGCTCTTCTTTATCTCCTTATAATACTAGCCACAAGAGCAATGACCATGAGCAACTGAGGCATGGTAGGAACTACGCACGCATGTGTACTTTGACATTTAATTAAAACTCACTCCACACTCGGGAGATGATAAATGACCATATCGGGTTCCTTCCTGACCGTCATCAAAAAAGTAACTGATATGATGTGTTTATTCCACCCGAGCAGTTTTTTTTTTCTGGAGGTGATGTAAGGGCAATCCTACATGTATCTATGGTAGCTTTCAGATGTCATTCATAATTAACAACATGGTTTCTGCTAAAACCATCATCGTAATCACATATAAAATGTATACTACATGCTTGCACATGTTCATGTTTTATAAACTTCATATTTTCTCTTTGAAGATGTATAATATGCAAAATATCTTTCACACACACAAAAAATGTGTCTTGGGCTCAATGGTTTCCTTTAATTTTCCCTCATACTCTTTAAATTTCTTTCATTGGACTAAATCTAATTTCAGGAAATTCAGAGAGTAAAGAACCCAATCCCGATCTTAACACAGGTGTTGTTGAAGCGTACACAATACCCCCCTTGTTGAGGTTTGTCAAAGAGCCAGTGACAAAATAAAGTGCGTAGGCCAATGTGCTTTCAAGGGCATGGCTGTGTGTATTATTAGCCTGTAGAATTCCCTGCTCTCCACTGCTGTGACTCATTCTGATTAAAATTGATTAGTAAAAGGTCTGTGGGCCCCATCATTCCCCTGGGCCTGTACTATTAAGTGCCCAGCTATAAATCAACACAAGCATAAAATCTCTCTCTTTCTCCCAGAGTAAAAATCACGGCTTTGAAATGAATGTCTGGATGAAAACCACATTGAAGCTGTAGTACGTGTGCTTTTGAGACTGTAGAAATACCTCCAACAGATCAGCGTTGCTTTTGGAACTGTCCGAAGACGTGCAAAAAAATCCGGCTCCTCCAGATTCAGGCGCCTTAAACAATAAACCCCAAGGAAAAACATTACTCTGATCACGAAAAATAAAGATCTGGTAACACTGCCACACAAATTCAGAAAGTGTCCTCCAAGTTTTCTAATTCTATCGACGGTTATTTTGCACCACTGTCTTGAAACTAATTATCAAAAAAGAACACTTCCAGACAAAGCACGGCACTCTTCACAAACAACAAAAGTCAGCTTAAGTGCCAAAATGAAGTCCAGAGATGTTTTCAAAGGAAGAGCTCATTATCATGTATTTCCAATTCAGTAGAGTTCCTTCCGAACATCTGCTTTTATATTTGTCAAGGGTCATTTCACTTTTGCTATATCAGTACATCTTAGATGCTACCAAGCAGACATACATGTAGCATAGCAATTACATCACATACATAGCTAGGCAGTGTGTACTGAGGAAACGGTTGTCAATCATCACAGACTATGTTAACTCTCAAGACAGATGCAGTCATATCCATACGGTAATTGTCAGGTTTGTTAATTTTATTAACAATTGTTAAGTAAAACTTTCATACCAACTCACAAAACCATCTTAAAATGGATTAAAACTGATACTCGGCATACCCAAACTATGAATATTCAACCCAAACTAAAAACACACTTAGGGGAACACTTTAATTTCCCCATGTGCAGCCAGCAAATAAAATTTGTTGACCATTTCCTACAATGCACTGCAAGTGGCCACTCCATATCAACCCCTTGGTGATGTATTGTACAGTCAGAACATTCTAACACATCCAAAGGAGGCTTGTTATATAAAGGTTTGATGGATTTCACTTTTCAAATATTGGTTTAAAGGAGCACACAAAAATAGTCGACAGTGCCTTTATCAAGGACAGGAACATACTCGTGTCCCCAGAATGAAAATTTCAATGTTTTACGGATTCACTGATTTACATTTCAAGTGCAAACAAATTTGTAGATGAAAAAATGTTGATACCGAATGCTTCCATGTGGCTTCCCACAATAACCATGAAAAAAGAAACAGAACTTTCGAGGCCAGGTAAAATGTGAAACTGATCTTCCTGAAATACACACGTATTTCGCTGGTCTTTGGCAATCTAGCCAGAACACAATCCACCTTTCATTTGAAACAAAATGCCAAAGCCTTGATTAAGGATGAGTATACTTACGGTTATCGCTGAAGTCATCCACTAGGATGATTTCCTGGATGAGATGTGAAGGACTTCTGTTCAGCACACTGTTCAGATGAGAAAGGAATACACAGTGATGTAATGAACATACATCTCACCATGCGATGCTACCCACTGGGCACTGTACATGTACATGTACTTTGAAGACGGTGTAGCCATATCCGCTTTAAGTTATTCTTCTCTTCAATAAAATCAACACATACTAGAGTAGAAACTTTTGGCAGGCAGTGTTTTTTGTCAATTCACATCACACAATCCTCTTCTTGACATTAATCATATCCCTACCTAGAAAGAAAAGAAACTATGTCAGGAACCGAAAGAAATGCAGAGTAAAGGCACTTTTCCATGTGTACGTTTTTTGGGTGCTTTGCGAGCACAATGGGTTCACGCGTTTCACTTTTATGGACATAGAAATCGACTCCATTAACATAACACACCTGTGCATTGCATGCGTACGGCCATCAAAATCGCCCGGGGCGATACACAACGCTCAACGCAAGTGTTGATGGACATGTGGAAAGGCCCCTTTAGTCAAATGTATCTGTCAGCTACTGCATAAACGCCTATGGTGGGGTTATCACGTGCAGGTAACGCTGTCATGGTGCCAGTTGGGATTACATTTTGAAACGCGCTTTGATAGAGACTTAGCTTAGACATGCTAGGCCTACTTAGCCCCCAAAACACGATTGGTTCAGAGAAATGTGAATAATTCATAAGCATTAGCATGTTGAATAATTCAGATAAACGACTGGAAACAAAGCTCCAAAGGCGCTTACGGCGGCGCGCACAGTCCACGACACACAGCACGGCTACTACATATGCATGCACGTTTTATTTCGGGCATGTGTGAGGTTTGTCGTGTAGTCTTTCTTCGAGCATTGGTTTGGTGCTTAAACTAGTATCCTCCAGCTCCCATCCTCGCTCTTGTTCGACTATCACTTTCGCCGTGGGCGCCTCGAACAAAGGCTACCGACGGGGGCATTTCTGCTCGAGGTGGATTAAGGTTTTGCTTCAGACATGAACTGGACTCAATGAAACACACAGACATCAGAGTAATACTTACAAACACAAATGCAACGCCCTCGTTTCAAACAGGCATTCCAGAGTCACGCCAAACCAAATGAAAGGCAAGAACTGCATTGAGATTGACATCTTAAACAATCAGGAGTGACCTGGCGCACCAGCCCAAGCTGGCGATTGATACTTGGAATCGTTCAGTCGACTCAGAAGCGACTTGGTTTCAGACACTGCTGTAGTATAAGCTGAACTAAATCCAATTCTACCTAAATCCATGCCAATAATAGTGACTTTATGACATATATCCTATAATATCCTTTTTATATAAAAATGAATTCTGATATACTACCATTGAGGGCGTTTCCATTTACGTTTGTGAGCACTGCAGTTATTTTGTGAGTGTCGACGAGTCTCTAGACAAATTAAATTTCAAATGGTAGATTGAATTCTCTAAATTCTTCATGTAGGTACAACAAAAGGAGCTGAAGCTCCACCACGGTTTGAATGTCCGAGAAGCAAATCGAATGCATCTCAAGAGGGACAAGGTGGAGGGAACTCCAGGGCTGCAGAGGCAAGTGCAGTTGAGCAAACCCTTGGCCCGACTAGTTGCGAAAGTAGAAAGACTGATAGAGAAGGCAACGAGAAGAGCTTAAAGGAAGATGGAGATACGACCGCTAACATCTATGGTATGTATATGCATTTCAATGATAATTGAGTGTCATGTACAGTTTGACCTGTAATTATCTTGAGGGGTAAGCAATTTTTTTTACTGGAATTCATTGCACAAACATGTAATTTAATTATCTAAATAAGTTCTGAAGGAATTCAATATGGGTTGTTTTTTGACAAAGTCGGGAAGAAGATTCCATTCCGGAATTGTCCATGGATAAAGTGAGTGAAGATAATTGTTTCTGTTTGCCTGGATTCGTTGAAGATTTAAGGTGCTGTTGGTCTGTCTTGATAAACGTTTGGAGTAAACGCTGGAAGGATGGTTTTGCATCATCGGTAGTCCCTAACTGGTTACCTACAAAGTTACCCTCCCCTGATGGAATTGGAAACAAGCCATCTCAGAGTAGTGATTCTCCAGCACTTCCAGGGTGGAGAAGATGCCATTCAGATTTGTACATGTAACTTTCCACTTGGAAGAGAGCAAAGCCCAGGTTCGACAGCTTCAAGAGGCACCCTTAGGACTGGACATTGTCTTTTGGATGTACCGTCTTCTTTCAAAACTGTTATTTTTAACCACAGCCAGTATGTATCACCAGTGTTACACAGACTAAGTTTTCTTCACATCATATTCATACAATCTGAGAACTCTCTATTTACAATGTACATGTACTTGCAGCTTAAGAGACACAATCAATTTGATGATTGATCTCAGCACATAAGGAATTTTTAGAAGACCTATCATTTATGGTGGCCGACTTCACTTTGCTGAATCTACATTCGGGCAACCATGGTTAGACTTATCCATCTAGTGATTTGGAATCAACCCACACTGGTTGCAATGATACTGGTAGTTATCAGCATGGCCTATTGCAATGGTACCACAGACAGCCAAATAACCTCCAGTTTTCATGGGTATTTGACCACAAATCAAATTATATCAACCTCATTGAGCTTGAAGGTTTTGGTTTGTAAAGTGTAATGTTTGATGGACCAACTATTGCATTCCTGATGTTCGCAGATTGCATCTGCACCCGTATGTGGCACAACGACATAGCCCTACATATAGTTTCCAATACTGTTTCTATTAGCTGATAGGCCTGTGATCCACAGAAGATATGAACTCCAGGGGTGACATCCTGTTTAAAACTTACCAAGTCAATAGATGGAGGGATGAGATCACGGGGGCAAAGTCAGTAATTTAAGTCCAATTACTTCAAAATCGAGTATTTTGCTCCACCCCTATCCCAAATATCGCCCACAACGAACAGGTACGGTAACGAGCCATATGTTTTCAGATGCATTCCAAAACCACTGTTACCAGGAAGATGGGATCTCCTTCTTCACACTGGTGTATAACCCACTTTTTTTATTCTGAAAAGGACCAGGTTGGCAGAATGGCTGACAATGAAAGATTGCTTCTAGTTCTTGAGATCAATTAAACTTTCGGCCCAGGAATTTCTGCTACCTACTGAGAGACAGAAACTCTTGGAAGTCACTTGTCAACAAAAAGGTGGTAAGCTCTCATGAAGATTGCCTGTGAATAGAGATAGTTGCCTAATCTGACTTGTGCACATAACAGACGGCACAACAATAGCCTTGTTGACGAGCAGATTTGATACTCCTCTGACAGTCACAGTTGTACAGCAGCAAACCAAACAAGAATTATCCAAATGGAAGCCAGACCAGTAAACAAATTAATCTCAATCAAGTAAAGCAAGACCTTCATTAGTGCCATTTTTCCGCTCTTCTGAACACAAAGAAATCGGTATCCCTGGCTGTCAAAACTGGTCCACTTGAGTTGAGGACCCAGTGGGCTGGATCACTGGAATTGGTAATTGCCTGGGCAACTGCCTCACTAGGCCAAGACTCAGAATGAGATTCCATGGAGTGTGAGAGCCCACCTTTTTGATTGAAACCTCAGAAACCTATTCAGGGAGAGACATGCCCATGTGACTCAATAGACCTGACCAACAAATATAATTGTACTCTGAGCAGAAATAGTTCCAACCTTTATTGATAAAGTTCACAATGAGGTTGCATGTCTTGAAAAGGACCAAATGAAAATAGAGAACACACACTTATTCCCAGATAACTACACATACATGTAGTTATCCCAGGCCTGTAGTGCCTCTGCGTCCTACAAACCACACAGCTGATGAAGGCCATGTGATACGTGGGACACGAACGTTCCATTTTCCACAAGCGCTAGCACAATAACAAATTGATCTTCACGCAAACTTGGCACACAGTATAACGGTGGAATATGCATGCCGTATACAAATATACATGTGTAAATGCATGTAACGGTCAGCATGGGATGCCAACGCTCCCCTTTTGAATTAGCAGTGAATTCTGCAGCTATGAATTATGCTTCAGCATAAAATAGTGCAATACATGGAGTAAGAACAGTGCAATACTCAGGGTGTGTATCAGTATAATATCACATTGTCGATACCAATCAGACTTGAGGATTAGTGTTGGCTTGGAAATAAAGGGCTATACAAACACAACTATTGTTTCCTAATGGATACGTGCAAAAACGAATAAAAAATGTTGTGTGTGGGATGTAGGATATATTAGGATTTCAATCCACATTAAAAGGGAAAAAGAAACAGAAAAGGGAGATATTAGTGAGTGAAATTTAACATAAACCAACTACACGAACTAGTCACAATGTGACCAAAAACATGGCTATCATGCATTTACATTTAGTGTATAAATAAACTTGTATAGCAAATACCGGTACGAGCAATTTTTCCAAAGCTGAGGCCGGAGAATTTAAAACCTGTTTTCTTTATCCCCCATCCCAATATTTTTTTGCTACTGTGCCGACTGTAAAACCCAACACAGCTTACAAATTGCGTGCTGAAGCAGTCCCATAAGCAGACACAGGTTCAGAATGCTTTTGTTTTGTCTGTGGTAAAAATGCAGCTGATTGGCTCTTCTTTAATGAATAGCTGTGAGTCACACACAGCTCAGTCAGACAGGTCTTCCATTTTCTTTTACTCCCCGGTTTGTAGGGCACCCTGGCTCCCAGCGCTGTCACCAGCACAAGGCAGATGACTGAACAGATCTGAATCACTGCTCATGGAACCCTACTGGTGCCTTGTTTTATTTTCCATTAACTCAGAGAAGTTCACTGTAGAAAGATATAATTCCATTACATGTCCCAGAGAAGGCGGAGACATGCTTACAGCCCACTTCATCCTTCCAACCTGGCTTTTGTATAAAAAGCCTTACAAATTAAAGTCACTTGTTGAGGCTGTGCAGAAGCCAGCCCACCCCTAGAATCTAATTTATTCTCATCTACTCCAAAAAGGTGATGAGAATACCTCAGTGTAGGTATCAATCACAGATATTAAAGCTGCTGACAATCACACAATGCATGATCAGCACAATTCAAAGTAGGCCTTTTCCTCCTTCTCATTGTTGTCACTTTCTCGAGCATTCACAGAAAACCACCCAGGAGTTTTCCCTTTTCAGCACCGATACAGAACACAGTTTCCTCATTCTGGATTACGCACAAAAGGCGACTAAAGATGTGGGCCACTCGCAGTGCTGTCAACAAATTGATTAAATCTCTCCTAATTTGAGCATCAAGAGCTGTTATTGCGTGGGCCTCCCTCCACTTTGGTTACAATGCACCTGTGGCTGAGGTTTTTGGTTTCCAATGAGTGGTCCTTGAATGCGACAATCAGATCAATTTCCAAGCAGTTCCTTTTTTCTCCTCTTTCTATGTTCATCTTCAGCATCTGAACCTGGGTCCTCCGGTATAAAAGCAGGAAAATGTGCTTGTCTGGTCAATGAGGAAGTTACCAACCCTGTGGAATAATTTCTCGGGCTTCTGTTGAATATGTATCGGTTAGACCTGAGCTTAGGTATAACACTCCTGTGGCTGGGCTGGTAAACCTGCCGATGTTGGTTTGCATTTAATGTGGAAAGAACCTCGAAGTGAAACCTTAGACTTATTCATTCCAATTGATCTATAATGTTCACTGCATGATGTGTCTAAGAGCCCAGGTCTCGCTGTTGGGGGTTTGATTCATACTGCCTGCATGGTTTCTATCCTATTCTATTTTTGACTTTAATGTAAGTTTAGCTGTGATTTGTTATTTTAGTGTCACCGCATCTGGTATAATTACTTTTCTTTTATCGTAGGTACGGTTAGAGGCGTCTGTCCCCGGGAAAGATCGAGACATCACCGATGCCAGCAGGGTTAGGTTCTTCCTGTTGGCGGGGCAGACGTATCCCCATACTGTGGTTTGGGTACTAGCGCGGTGACATTCATTCATTTATCCTTATTCATTTATCCTTATCCTTTCATTTCTTAAATTAATTATTTCTTATGTTAACTTGTACTGTGCCGTTGATCATTTTTATGGAAACGGCGCATTATAAATTTTCTCTTGTTATTATTATTATCCTTCAAAATACATCCTTGAAAATATACTCAAAAGATGCATGGCCTTACCTGGCGACAGTCCTTAATAATGTTGACCTTGCCTCATTGTGGAATGTTATGATGACTGATGTAGGAGGAAGATTTTCAACACCATAATCTATATTTTGGCACCTAACAGAAAGATAGAAAGACAAAACAAAATCTTGGCCACAAGTTCCAATGGGTTCCTACCTCAAATTACTCTTTTAAATTATAATGAAGGACTTCTTGCGAAAAAACTGTATTTCCCTTTTTCTGCCTGACCTGAGGTTTTGTGAATGTGTCCTGATGATCACATGTTAATATACTGTCAAGTTGGGAGCATCACAATTATCTTGAGTCTACACCGTTCCATTTCAAATATTTCTTTAACTATATGTATGAAAATAAATTCCTCAAAGAAAAATATTCCCTTGGCTCAAATACACAACTGGCACGTTTATTTTGATTAATTTTGTTAGACCCACACAAAAAGTCCACAATTTTTGCAAAGAGACATCCGCTGTTCTGGACTGCTACTGTCTAGACCCATTTTACGCACTGCATTGCCGAAAGTACCCAACACCCGATTCAGCAAAGTGTAAATTTCCGTGTGGAATGCACAAAGACTTAAACAAACAAAAAGAAATTGCCAATGTGAAAAGGCTGACAAGAGGGCACTTTGCAGGAAATGAAGCTAGCTCCTCTGCGACACATGGCACATAATCAATAAGGAATCCGCACTAAATTTCAACCTCATAATACACTTCGAGGAAAAGTACAATTCAGTTGCTCAAGCAGGAGATGGAAAAAATAAAGTACAAGGCAAGCATGGTATTCCTATCACAACCGTGCTGTGAGCAACACCCTCGGAACCATTATGACAGTTCCAGACACTGACTTCCCTTTGCTTCTGAGCTTGTACAGCTCAACTCAAACTTCCGGAAGGATCTACGTGTAGGAGGTAATTGGTTTAAGGCCCTAAAATATTTGATCTGGATTTTTTTTTCGGCCAAGGAGGGTTCAGTTCAATCAAAATATCCTAAACATCAGCTAAAGGAGGTGTTAACTTTTAAAAGTGAATGCAAAATACAGCATGTTAGTTTGTGCAGGATGAGTGATTATGCAATCGAGAATGGGTGCGTTCGATATATACGCATGAAGTCTTTGACTTAGTGACACAGGCAAGAAATGATACAAGAGGATTTGGGGAGTATGCAGATGTCACTGCTAGGAGATGATTCCTGCTCCTCTTTTCATATAAAAAAGCAGAAATTTGTATTACAATATAAGGGACGAAAGTGAGGTGGGTGACCGGGAAAACAGAAGTCAACTGAGCAACATGAAAAAAAAAACCAGGCATTTAGCGCACAGCTTGTTGACTAGATTTCTGCACAGTATAAAATACTGCGATGTCAGTGATTTTCATGTCGTGTGTACGGTTTGTTGTGGTGTGTTGGTGTGTTGTCCACAAACCGTTTTGTCACACAATTGAAATGCCTGTCAGTTTCCAGGCATGAGGCTGGAGTTACTCAAGCTACTTTTCAAAATACAATAGACCTTTTCACACTAGACAAATCTCTGGGTTGACGCAGGGCTGAAAACAGGCGACAATTCACACTTTGAAAATTTTCAACCCTGCACCATGTGTCAAACCCCAAGATTGACTTCATTCCGGATTGGCTTCAACCCTGCTCCCGACCAGGGTTGAGAATTTTCAACCTGGGTTGACAATTGTGCTCATTTCCGTGTTGAACTTGCCCTGAAGCTCTGCTTGTATGAAACAGGAGTGAAACAATGCCGGGTTGAAAATGGGGTGGAAAAAAAATCAAATCCACCCAGGGTGGGTCATGGGTTTGCCAAGGGTTGAGTTCAACCCGGTTAGGAGACTGTAGTGTGAAAAGGCCTGTTGTTGACAGCAGCCTCAACCAGCGTTAGGGTTTCTTGAACTGCAGAGTTCAACTCTATGGTAACTGCTCCCTGTACTTTTCCTACCCACCTAAAGTTTCTTGTGTCGGGAATGTTTCTATCAATGGGTACACTGTCACTCCTGGCTTGATTGAAGGCGTGTCTCTTGTAGGGATCCTCCCCAGATTCCTCTCTGCTATCCCTGAGGTAGTTGTCTATATCCAGTACTCTAGAGTTTAGTACTTGGAATACGTCGTACTGCAACACAATAAAGAAGGACCACGTTAGTGTGTTGGACTTTTGTTTCTAGCAAAGGGCAACCAGATTTAGCAACTTTTCAGGCCAGACTAAAAAGCCACTACCCCAGTGGTAATAAGTTGGGATGTAAGCAGCACCTGCATGTACCTCGTACATACATGTTCATGCCTATTGGATACCCACTTGATCAATTGGTTATGGTGACTAGCCAAAATTCATGGGCGCTTCACGAACACCAGTGATTGTGGTACCTCCGTACCGGTAGCAATGATTTCTCCTCAGATTGGTCTATACAGCACTTTTTAGAAACATCCCTGAGAGCATCTTCTGAGGCGTTAAGTACAACTTCCTGTTTTCTTTAGCTAACCCAGTCGAGAATACAGAAACCAATTGTAGTCTTAGCAGAGCATCCATCAAGTGAAAACCCAAGAGAGAAGACAGGGGCCAATCCATACTCACAGTAGAGAATCTACTTTGATCAAGTGAGATGACAGGGGCCCATCACTACTCTTACTAGTAGTAGAATATTCACTTTTATTAAGTGAAAACCCAATTTAGAACAAGGGATGTACATGTAGTTGCTACTCTCAGAACATCCAATTATATCAACGGCACACTGGTCCAGCCACATCTTAATGGCAAATTCAGTGACTAAAGCCGTGTTTGCACTGGACTTTTTTTGGTCGATCTTACCGAGACAATAGTTGATTTCCCATTTTCAGTCACACATCCCGGGAAATTTTCCTCTTGGTTACTTTTACTGAGCTGCACGAGCCTTTCTACCAGCCTACTTCTGCCAAGGAAAACTTACTGTGACACTTTTCCTTAGACAGAAAGTCCAGTGTAGACGGCGTAAGTCAGTAAAAAGCATGGGGAAGTGGCCAAGTTGAGTGTACATCCGGCCTGAGCACAACGGCGTGCTTCATACAGGAATGCGTGTTGCACGTTTCGTTGCGGTATGTATGTCATGTGGCACATATTTTGGGAAAAAAATTTGTCCTCTTTTGGTTGCAATCATTGCAGAAATTGTTACTGACACTGTTGGAAGATTAACTGGCATTGAGAGTGCACCATTTAGAGATGATAAGGAGGACAGAAACGTTGTGTCTAAGGACAAAAATAAATGCAGAAAGGTCACACAAAGCGCCCTCATAAGTCACTGCATTGCCAGCTTGGTTACTTTTCCTGTGGTCTCGGTAAAATTTTCCTGTGCCGATAGTCCAAGTGTGGAGAGTGGTCACATTTGACCATTTTTCTCTTTGACCATCTGCTCAGTAAAGCCCAAGGGAAAAAAACTCCAGTGCGAACTTGGCTTAAGGTTGTAAAGAAACAAGCCAGGAAGAGCATCGCAATGTTCCTTGGGAATTCTATCTCTACATGCTCAGAGACCACCCACATAGTCCAGTTTATGGATATGGATTGCCAGCCACAGAGGAACACACCACAGGAGTGATGTTTTGCCTGAACATGTGGATAGTGTTTCTTCATGTGTTGTAACCATGTTTAGTACCCAAGAAGTTTCTAATAAATGAAGTAAAAATCCAGCTTCAGCAATCAAGTGGTTTCCTCAAAATCAAGATGAGAGTTTTGTAAAAAAGAAGGCAGATAATAAGTGCTTTTACAAGTCCACAAAGGAGAGGATAAATTTATTCCAATACATCATTATTTGAGGGCCTCCCATATTTTGGCAATGACCTCTGGCTTTATTTTCCATCTCATTTGACCATAAGATTTATAAGTCCTTCAATGAAGGGCCTGGAATTGTCCATGACCTCTGTCTTCCCAAAGATGACCCTGCAGCCCATTCCGGACAGATTCCGGACAACCCTGCATTTCATGATCACCCTGCCCACATGGATTAAAGCTTAATAAAAAAAAAACCCGGGCTCCTTAAAGAAATAAATCAAAACCAAGTGATAAATTGCTAACTCAAATAAACCCTGGTCAGCCTTGGCAGAAAGCTTATCGGCTGGTGCAAATGACACGGAACCAATTATCGGCAGTATGGTGTTGACAGATTGTACTGGGTTAGTCTCATACATATCATAAATCTACTTTATGATGATACTTACCCTACTTGAGCAAATTATGAAACACAGAAATGTGCATGTACAGGCTGAAGCAGAATAGAATGTGAGGATAAACACTCTCAAGCTGAGTCTGGAAGTATGGGTTAATTCTCCGCACCAAATATGCCATTGCATGAATGCCAATTTGGTATAATATCACAGGTTGATGAACGGGTAATATACAGGCTACAGCGTACATTGTCTATTCACAGCAAAGATGAATATGCTGCGACTGGTGATTCATTTAGTTGTGACAGTCACGCTCATTTTCAACACCACTGCTTGGAAAGAGTTAGTCTTAGACAGAAGGGGGGAGAAAAATGTTATTCGGCGAATACACGGGAACACTGGAAAACAGTAGTATCATCACGCTGGAATACTGGCCATATCAATGACGTCCTGTGAGACTTGGTTGTTTTATGGTTAAGTAAGGACATTTTCGCTGAGAGACATGGGCCCTAAGACTGCGAAACAGGGCAAACAAATGTATCTTCTGGTCACTCGAAGCATAGAGGAAGGACACAGAAGGATTTTGAACTGCCCGGGCTATAACATCTGGCCAATTACCGCTTTCTGGCATGCCTGGTATGTCCATAGCCAGAGCGCAGCGAACGCTTGCTACACATCATCTGTTCACAACAAGGAAACCCCTTTGTACCCTACCATATGATCGCCGCCGCAATTTGTCGATGGTAATCTGCATCCTTAAAACTTCGTGCACTGAGGTATAGGAAATTGAATATTCATGCTTTGTTGGTACTTGGTACGATCTCATAAAAACATAAAATATAATGCTTGTGCAGTTGCTTGCATTACGCTGTGTGCCCTAAATCTATTTGTGCAGTCACTTCCCTTAATGAGCTCTTTCTTCTGGAGTTACTTTGGGAATACAAGTATTTAGCCCGGTTGTTTACAAGATTTTGTGTTTTGTTTTAATCATTTTTATTATGGCATTTGTACAAAAGAGTATTTTATGAGATTTCACTATCACTCCCTGTGATGAAATAGCACATTCTGTTCCTAATGAACTAAGCTTTCCAGTAGTAGTGAACATTTTGTTGGCCAGTCTTAGCCAAATTCGCACCAAGTCTTTGAGCACTGATGTATTGGACGGAGGAGAATACAATTACAAACTTTGCATGGATAATGGAACAGTGTATCAAAATTTAAAAAGTTTATTTACGATGGCCAAAGGAGGTCTAATATCAGGGATCTTTCTCTCTCTATTTCCCGGTCAAAGCAATGATTTGTGTTTAATTGCAAGCAAAAACTACAAGTATTGCTGGGATATTACTAGCCCCGCTTGTGCGGCTAAGATGCAAGCAGTAATCAGGCATTTTTGGAATGTTTTCTATTATTCGTCTGACTCAGCAGCGACCATCACTGAACACTTTGAAGTGCCTGAGTTGCAACTCCTTCTGTGTCCTTCCTCTATGCTCGAACTCTGGAAAAACATCACACTGACATTTGGAAGGTTATTGCATTTGTCCACAACCAAGTTCAGGTGATCAATTTGGGCGAGTGCATTACTATACAGTGTTTAAATAAATTAACCATGGCCTTGACAAAGAAGCAACTTACACAACTGCTAAAGTCTTTCAGATTTCAGCCTAGAATTTTACCTGCTGTAGCTACAACTCCCCCCCCACCATCTCCATGTCCAAACTATCCACAACTCAACCCACACAGATCACATGACAAAGAACCAACAGATGATCTCCTCCTTTCGCTTCTCTCAAAAGCCCTCTCCCAAGCATATAACTGTCAATGTTTACTCACTCCACTAATTACTTAACTGCTAGTACTTAAAGACCTTGGGGACTCCCTGGGTGGCCCATTGCCAGCCCCTTTAAAGATGCTTGCCTTCCTGCTATGAGACTGCAGTGCACACAGGTAATTACTTGTATAATGCCAATTCAATTTGGGGGATTTTTTTACAATTTTTGCTGGGGAGACTGAAAAAAAACCCACCTTTGCAATGTGTAAAGCATACAATGAACAAACGACAGTAAGAGATGAAACAATGAAAATGGACTTTAACCAAATAACTTGATTTAGAAGTACTGTAACAGTGGCTCGTAACTTCATTGGAATTAGGATGTGCTTTTTTTGTGGTTATCACATATTAAACAGCATTGTGATTTGTTGGGAAAAATCTGACATTGAAAGAAAGCACCTGGCAATCCACATTTTCAGGGTAAACCTTGCAGGTCTGAAACAGCACTGACACTTGGGAACACGGTGAACTCCAGATCGAATCCATTTGTGCATGAAAATGGTAACTCTGCACTGCACATCAAACCAGCACAACAATCCACCAGTCAAATGGTACCCGTAGATTAAGTATTGATCTATTTTGGGATGCCCCACACTTGGGATGCAAACCTTCAGTCTCCACCTCGGCAGTGCCAGTTCGGATTCTTGTCTTCTCAAGGTTTACAGCTCCAAAACTATCACAGCGGGAATGTCACATTGGTCAGTTTCGATGCTGTGAAGCAACTGTTCCTTTCTTTTCTTTTCCATGCAGAGAGTTTGGACTTTTGGTCTTTGTCGAAAACAAGCGGAGTACTAGTACTTATTAGGTAAAGCCCCATGGTCTCATTACAGCAAACAGCAAGTACATGTAACTGCTCTTTATCCTGCTTGTTTTTTGGGGGGGCGCAGGGTGGAAGATGGCAGGGAGTAGGGAATGTGTGACACATTCCATGACATTTAGAGAGATCATGGAGTTTATGCATCTGCATGGGTGGCTTGCATGTCAGTGAAAGGATGCGCATCCCCGGTAGATGCACTTTCATCAATAACATCTCATTGCTTCTGCTGTGAATGTACATGTACTACAGGCAAGGTAAATATGTCAATCCACCATCTGCTGCCAAAATGTAGCTTACAGTACAATGCCCTACGTTTTGATCTGTGTGAGTTCATGCT